CATAGTCCCTTACCACAAGGGGCTCATAGTCTAGAGAATATGTGTATAGTAACTGCAGTAATGCTATAAGGAGGTAGAGCATCGGCTCCCTCTGAATAAAGGTTAAAATCCTGGACCCTATTTAAGTAGCCTTTGGAAGTGTTTCAGCCTCTTGGTTGGTTTTTTCATGTATAAAATGACAATCCAGTCTTACAAGGTTAATGTTAGGGTCTAACAAGTGCTGTATGGTTAACACAAGTTGTAGCTGCGAGTATTGTAGATATTTGGTGTTGGGGTTACCCAAGACATACCCTAGAGGAAGATGGGTCAGAGAATGCTTCTCAGAGCTGAGTCTTCAAGGTTGTATAGAAGTTCTCCAGAGGACAAGGTGGGAGAAAGGAGTCTAAATGAAGGAAGGAATTTATACAAAGACCCAGGGCAAGCACCACTGATTTGGAGAGTGGGGAGAGATCAGGCTGAAGGGGCTAGCAGCGTTCTTGAAAACCACGCCAAGAGGTTTGGGCCTTATCCTGTAGGTGGTTAGGAGTCAGTGAAAGGTTTTAAGCAGGAAAGAGAACATGGTGTGCTTCAGTACATTCTCTGATAGCGTGTGAGGAAGTAATTCTCAGTGGGAGAGACAGTTGTGATTGCTTGATTCCACCTCTCCCTTGCTCCAGCCTAATAATCATCAGATACCCTGTGCTTTGCTGGACCCTAGCCCAGACTTACAGAATCAGTCTCCAGGTCTGGATCCCAGGTATCTATTGTTGAATTGTCCCAAGTGACTCTAATATTTGGCTGGGTCTGAGAGCTGCTGAATTGAGAGTGTCGGGGCTCTTTGAGGAGACCTGGGGACAACAGGCTTCCCAGAGAGAAGCTTTCTCATAAGCAAGAATAGAAACAACCTTAGTTTAAAACAGAATAAAAAACCCTCCCCCAGTTCTGATCTATTAATGATATTCGCCAGCTGCCAATCTTCCATTGTGTATTCAAACACTAACCTGTGCCTACTCTGTGCTACAGCCTCTGCTGAATGACTGCAATATAGTGACTTGTGGGACACAGGCTCTGCCCTTGAAAAGCTCACAGTATTGTGGAGAGGACAGATCTTACCCACTAGGATATATATGATCAGCTCTATTCTAGAGATATGTTTTTAAACAAAAAAGTGTTAGGGTATCCCAGAGCAAAGCCAAGTTCATTCTTCCTATGGACTTAAGAGGATGTAACACCCAAATCAGCCTAAAAAAAAAAAAAAGAGGAGAAAGAGGCAGAAGAAACAGGATATGTGAAGGTGTGACTACTTTATGTATTTGGTCCTTCTTGGCAGGATGTGCAGAAGCAGAGAAGGACTGAGGAGAGGCATGCTACATCTTGGGAAGGGCCCTGTGTTTGTGCCTTTGGTTCTGTGCCTATGCACCTGCCTTCATCCTTCAAACTCTGGGTGGCTCTGAGCGCAGTAGCTGCACGGTTGTGCAGCCTGTGGGTCAACATGATGCTGTCCATCTCCCCTTCATTCCCCAAAGCCCATTAGCTCTCTTTATTTCCCCCTCCATTCTTAGCATGCTTAGCACAAGTGGGAGCTATAAGTAGATGTATCTACTCTGAAAAGTGATGTGGGGAAACTAAGGCAGAAAGAAGGGGCTGGTAGAACTGCAAACATGGAAGGTTTCATTAGGAAGTTATAGTCAGAAAACATAGAGCTGGGGGTTCAAAGAGGCCTTGAAGTCATTTGTCTGGGTTCTCTGTCCTTTGCTTCAAGAAATAAATTTGGTTTGGGCAAGTCTCACTTAGTTTCCCTGTCATTTCTTCCAGGGCAGAAGAGGAAAGAAACTAACGGGTATTGAGCACCTACTTTGTGCCAGGCCCAGGCCAGGTACTTTACATAATTTATTTCCTTCTTTCCTCACAACTCTGTAAAATGTAGTTTTATTCCCATTTCACAAATGAGGAAATTGAGGCTCAAAGAAATTGAGTAATATTCCAGATCATATGGAAAATGACAACTGGGATTTGAACTCAACTGTGTGTCTCATCCCCAAAGTTCATGCTCTTCTCCCCTCCATGAGTAACCTGTGCTGGGGTTAGAGTAGCAGAGTGGCAATTTGACCTGAAGATTCTGGTAAATCAGCGGCTTGGGCCCTCCTTGTGGCTGATTGCACCCAGGAGGCAGTTCAGTGGTTGAGCCAGCCTTGTGGGGATATTAAAGCTGAGAAAGTTTTAGGTTTAAGGTCACTAGGGTCAGAGAGACTCCCAACTGAGCTTGTAGAACCAGAAAGGATTCTCCCCTGACACAGTGTGAAACAGCTGTTCTACCTCCTGGAAGGGCCTGAGCCCACAGCCTGCATGGAATTTTGCATAAAAGCTCCTGGGCACTGAGGTGGGGTTGTGTCAGCTCTCTTAGCTCTTGTTAGCGTTAGAATGGTCTGAGATTCTTCTCACTGATTGCCCTCTCATCAGTGGCTCAGAGTGACTCATAGCATGTTGGGAAAGGGACTGGTTTGGCACTGTTTTAAATTCTGCCTTTGTGTTGAACAGCTGAGACATGAGCCATATGGGCTTTAAGCATTCATTTATTTATTCAGTGAATGCCTGCAATGTGCCAGGCCCAAGCCAAGCCTAGGTTCCTGGGCATGTTTAAATGACCAAGGTCCATACCCTGCTCCCAGAAAGCTCACATTCTATCAGGGATTTAGGGACAGACATAATACATCTATGGCACAGTTCAATGATGCTATACTAAATAGAATCAGTTCTGCTTAGCTTGACCAGCAAAAGCTTCATTGACTTTTAACCAGAATCTTAGGGAATGAGTAGGAATTTACAAGGAGTAGATGTTTCCCAGCACTTAGTGCAATTGGCAGGAGGTAGGGGCTCTGAAAATGTTGAATGAGGGAATGAATGGATGAATGAAAGAGTAAGTGAAGATAACTATGCCAGTGAGTTTTTCTAGGCTGAAGATTAGTAATTTCTCTGTTTCTGAAAGGGAATTTTAGCTGCTGCTGTTGTCCTCTGCCTGCCTTGGTGACAGAGAGGCTCTTGGAGTTGGATGCCTTGAGAGTAGAGTGCTCTAATGGGCCATTTCAGAATAGAATTTGGGACCTTTTGCCTGGCGGCTGGTTAGATACAGCATGTGCCTTGGGGAAATCCTGTATAAACATACAAAGACTCTGGAGATGAAAAAGAATCCATGGGGTGAATGAGGCCAGGTTTAGTGCTGGAATTTCAATCCAGCTTCAGAGTAGTCCTTGACAGCTGTTTGGTCTGGCACTGGGTTATTCCAAAATTGTGGACAGAAAGGCCAAGCTAGAAAATAGAGTCATGCCCCAAATAGCTATCTTTTTTTTCTTTTTTGAGACAGGCTGTCACTGTCACCCAGGCTGGAGTACAGTGGTGCAATCTTGGCTCACTGCAACCTCTGCCACTTGGGCTTGAGCAATCAATCCTCCAACCTCAGGAGACCCTTATGTATTCCTAAAAATTATTGAGGAACCCAAAGAGCTTTTGTTTATGTTGTTTATATCTATTGATATTTACCAAATTAAATATTAAAGCTGAGAAAGTTTTAAAATATTTTATCACTAATTCATTTAAGAGAGACAGTATTAAATGTTTTGTTAACATAAATAACAATTTTTAGTGAAAACTGTATTTTCCAAAACAAAATTAGAAGAATGGCCAGGTGTGGTGGCTCATGCCTCTAATGCTAGCACTTTGAGAGGCTGAGGCAGGCAGATCACTTGAGGTCAGGAGTTCGAGACCAGCATGGCCAACATGGTGGAACCCCGTCACTACACTCTGGCCTGGGTAACAGAGCAAGATTTCATCTCAAAAAAAAAAAATTAGAAGAATGGTCTTGTTTACAGTTTTACAAATGTCTTTTCATCTGGCTTAATAGACTAAGGCTGACTTCTCATATATGCTTCTATATTCCGTCTGTTGCAATATATTGTTGTTATTGAAGTATATGAAAAAAATCCAGTTTCACACAAATATATAGTTAAAAAGGGGAGGGGTGTTTCAGTAGCCTTTCCAGATAATTTCCAGTTTTGAATTTGAGCCCATTATCAGTGAAGTCTTCATACTCATTTATGTTAAAGTCTATTGGTCAATCCAGTGCTTTGACTCCATCATGCTTTGGTCATTTGGAAAATAGGCTCACTGAATTTTGTATATCTTCCAAATGTTTTCCATACCAAAAGATACCTTTTTTTTTTTTTTTTTTTTTTTCCCGGAGACGGAATCTCACTCTGTTGCCAGGCTGGATGGAGTACAGTGTCACAATCTCGGCTCACTGCAACCTCCACCTCCCGGGTTCAAGCGATTCTCCTGCCTCAACCTCCCGAGTAGCCGGGACTACAGGTGCACGCCACCATGCCTGGCTAATTTTTATATTTTTAGTGGAGACGGGGTTTCACCATGTTGGCCAGGATGATCTCAATCTCTTGACCTTGTGATCTGCCCGCCTCAGCCTCCCAAAGTGCTGGGATTACAGGCGTGAGCCACCACGCCTGGCCTTTTATTGATTGATTTTTTTGAGATGGAGTCTAGCTCTGTCACCCAGGCTGGAGTGCAGTGACACGATCTTGGCTCACTGCAACCTCCGCCTCCCAGGTTCAAGAGATTCTCCTGCCTCAGGCGCCTGAGTAGCTGGGATTACAGGAGCCTGCCACCACACCCAGCTAATTTTTGCATTTTTAGTAGAGACAGGGTTTCGCTGTGTTGGCCGGGCTGGTCTCGAACTCCTGACCTCATTATCTGCTCACCTCAGCCTCCCAAAGCGCTGGGATTACAAGTGTGAGCCACCGCGCCTGGCCTAAGATAACATTTGTTAATATTGCCACCAATTTCATCAGAAAAGTCTTTGGAAGCTGTCAAGCTCGTGATAGATACAAGTTTCAAAATTCTCAAATGTTCACTTGAAAGCTTGCATTTTATATCACTGACCACAAATACTATCAGTTGTTTTTCTTGAAGTGACAGGCTCATTTTATTCGTTGTTCATTTTTTGAGAAAATGTCTGCTAATACCCAAGTCTAAAAAATAAGTCATTCTTTCATTTAAAAAATAGTGTCCCATAGTCACTTCCTCTTCCTTTGATTTTGTCTCTTTTATCCAGGAAACATTAGAATGTACTATCTTGATGCTTCTCACGCTAAGACGGAAAAGTCTTGGGCTTGATTTGGTAAGGGAACAGATAATGGTTTTAATGGCTGCAGATGCCAGCCCCCTAGGCCCTGGAGTGGACCTAGAGCTCACTTGGCCACTTCATTGCTCTGGGGACGTGCGTGCTACAGCATGGATCCCCTGTGAGTAATCTCACACTCTCTAGAGATTCTGGTTTTGCTTAGAGAGTGAAGAAAAATTATCTTGGAGCTTTTTTGAGGAGATCCAAAATCAGTAGAACCCCAGAACTTTTCTTCCCTCATCTTTTGCCTAAGGCTAGACCTGTATCCTCAGAGGCTCTGAAATTTAAACTGAGGTGAGCAGGAATAATTACCTGCTGCCCAGGGCTGCTGGATTCAAGAATCAGTTCCATCAGCCTTTGTGATGAAGAAAAATGGTTGGACTTTTCATTCATTCAATTAACATTGACTGATTATGTTCTTTGTGTCTGAATACTGTACCAGGTGTTAAAAATATAGCTTGGGGCCAGGTGCTGTGGCTCACACCTGTGGTCCCAGCACTCTGGGAGTCTGAGGCGGGTGGATCACAAGGTCATCAGGAGTTCCAGAGCATCCTGGCCAGCATGGTGAAATCCTATCTCTACTAAAAATACAAAAATTAGTTGGGCACAGTGGCGCATGCCTGTAATCCCAGCTACTCGGGAGGCTGAAGTAGGAGAATCACTTGAACCAGGAGGTTGAGGTAGTTGAACCAGAATCACTTGAGGCGGAGGTTGCAGTGAGCCGAGTTCGTACCATTGCACTCCAGTCTGGCGACAGAGCGAGACACTTTAAAAAATATATATATATATACAGGTTGGGAGCAGCTGGTTGAAAGTCTGGGTTGACTGACTCTTCAGAGCATAAGGAGTCATGAATGCCAGAATTTGGAAAATGGCAGCAGATCACAGTCAAAGGGAACTCTGAACCAAGAGCTGTTCTCTGCCATAGCAAAAACTTGAAGGAACCAGTGGCAATACTGACTAAATGTAACATCTCTAGGGCTTGTGGTTCTCGTCACCCTTTGGGAATTAAAATGAAGATGAAAATGGCAGAGAAAAGCTCCCAGTTCCACAAGGCATTGTACCCAAGGGCAGGCACCAGGGCCTAGAATTAAGATATCAGCTTTAGGGGTGGCCCTCTCAAACTGCCTGGGCCTGAAGGAAAGACTCAAGTGTACCACACTCAAAGAGGACAGTGGATAAGCTAGTCTTCAGTGTTGACTTAGAACAGAATGGCCAAGGGGCTTAGATAATAAATTGAATGCCTACTGCCTGGATCCCTTGAGCTAAGTGCTTTTAATCCTGTGAGCAGTTTTATGCAACATAGGTGGTATCACTCAATCCTGTGGGCAGCTTCAGTTAGAAGTTAATTAGCTTTTCAGGCCCTGTGTTTCTTCCTTTAACTAGGAAGACAGCCTATCCTGTAAACTCACTTCCAGTGATGGCTAGTCTCATTTATTTTGTGTACCACTTTGGCTCTAGGGAGAGCCATGTTATTTCCATTAACTGGGGGCATCTCATTGTAATCCCTAAAGAATGCAGTCTTTTACTCTAATGCAGTTGAGATTGGAACCATTCTGGAGGTCAGGTGGACAGATGGGCCTTTCTCTGTAGGAAGCAGTAATTTCAAGCAGTGTCTCATTGAGCTACCTGCCAGCTACATTGCCACGGGGACACCAAACAAATCTGAGTTTGCTACCACATGCCCAGCTGAGCCCATGCCCCAAGCCAGGCACTGTGCTGCACTGTGAGGGATCCAGACAGGAATTAGACCTGGTACCAGCCTCTTGTAGAAAGGACAGAAGTTACAGGTAAATAAATTAAACAGAAGGCACACGACTGTAACCAACGTACAGTGTACTAGAAGGAGAGGTGAATTACAAGGGGACTCTGCAGGAGAAAGCCTGGAGGAGTTTGGCCTTAAATTGGGCCATTAGTTTCTACTCAGTGGTAAACATGAGAAGAAAGTGGGTTTTAAGCAAGGGATCCCCATTAGCAAAAGCATGAAATAAAAACAGCAGAGATTATTTGGGGAATTTAGGGAATGACTTCATAGAGTGTAGATTAAGATTTCTGACAAGTCAGCTTAGATTCATCACGTAGACTCACGTTCGTGTAAAATGCAGTGACCATTTATTGTCTTCTATTGTTTATATTGTGTTAATGATTAATACCATTTGTTAAGCAACATATATGTGCCTAGCACTGGACTAGATGCTTTATCACATTTATTTCTCACAGCTGACCCTACAGATTAGGACTTAATCCCATTTTACAGATGAGCAAACAGAGAGGGTAAGTAGAACTAGCCCAGCATCATACACCTGGTAAGTGACAGAAACCAGGATTAATGCCAAAGCCAGTGTTGTTTCTACAAGTACTTCGGCACTAAGTGCAGTCACAGTGGTTACATATTTAATTTATAAGAATTGTGTATTTGCTTTTAAAAACAGAAAACACACATACATTGTATTATACATTTGAATTAATTGGTCATAACTACAAAACCACGTACAAGCATCCCTCCACATCTGTGGATTCAACCAATTGTGGACAGAAAATATTCAAGGAAAAAAAAGGATGGTGGTGTCTATACTGAACATTTATAGACTTTTTGCCTTGTCATTATTTCCTAAACAATATAGTATAGCAGCTATTTACATAGCATTTACATTGTATTAAGTATTATAAGTAGTCTGGGTGTGGTGGCTCACTCCTGGCCAACATGGTGAAACCCCATCTCTACTAAAAATACAAAAATTAGGCCGGACGTGGTGGCTCAAGCCTGTAATCCCAGCACTTTGGGAGGCTGAGGCAGGTGGATCACCTGAGGCCAGGAGCTCAAGACCATGCTGGCCAACATGGTGAAACCCCATCTCTACTAAAAATACAAAAATTAGGCCGGGCGTGGTGGCTCAAGCCTGTAATCCCAGCACTTTGGGAGGCCGAGGCGGGTGGATCACAAGGTCAAGAGATCGAGACCATCCTGGTCAATATGGTGAAACCCCGTCTCTACTAAAACTACAAAAAATTAGCTGGGCATGGTGGTGCATGCCTGTAGTCCCGGCTACTCAGGAGGCTGAGGCAGGAAAATTGCTTGAACCCAGGAGGCGGAGGTTGCAGTGAGCCGAGATCGCGCCATTGCACTCCAGCCTGGGTAACGAGCGAAACTCCGTCTCCAAAAAAAAAAAAAAAAAATACAAAAATTAGCCAAGCATGGTGGCAAGTACCCGTAATCCCAGCTACTTAGGAGGCCTGAGGCAGGAGAATCACTTGAACCCAGGAGGCAGAGGTTGTAGTGAGCTGAGCTCATGCTATTACACTCCAGCCTGGGCAACAAGACCGAAATTCCATCTCAAAAAAAAGAAAGAAAAGAAAAGTATTATATGTAATCTGGAGATTATGGGAGGGTGTGCATTGCTTATACGCAAATACAACACCATTTTATCTCAGAGGTTTGAGCATCTGCAGATTTTGGTATCTGTGGGGTGTCCTGGAACCGATTCCCCATGGGTACTAAGGGATGACTGTATATTGTGCTTTATATAGGTCACATAAAGAATTTCAAGAATAACTATACAAGATTTTAATCTTATGTAATGACTTTTGAACCTAGCATGCAAATGAAATGAAACTTGTAGTAAAATTACACATCCTGGTGCTTGCCTTGTAGTCCTCATCATGGCAGGAAAAGGAACTCTATCTAGAGTTACTGTGGCACTTCGTAGCTATGGAGTTTCCTCTTTGCCTTAATTTCTCTGAACACCATCCTTCTTATCAGCCTTCCAATCCTGCAGTTCCCATTACACAACTGTCTTGCTCATTGAAATTTTCCCTTGGCAGAGACTTTAGGCTGTGTCTTTTGTGAGTTCCACATGTAAAACTTCTGTCTCTCTGATACTCTTCTAAGTTCCTTGTATTTCCCGAAATGTTTCATTATGCTCCTGGTACCACTGTTTGGTTCCTTTCTTTTTTGAGAAACTAAGGATCCAAGTCAGTGTAATGGTAACATTACAGATTTGAGGATAACCTGATGCTAACTAATTATGAGAAAGTAACTTCATGGGAGAAAAATGATGGCATTATCTTATTGGTAGGATGAGGGTGATATTATTCCTGTAGGCCTCTACAGACATGTTACCCCGTGTTGGGTAAGTTTGGAAAGGTATGTCAGTTAACTACCATTGTGTAACAAACCACCTCTAAAACCTAGTGGTTTAAAACAATACCACCTTCTTTTTCTTTCTTTTTTACTGAGATGGGGTCTCACTCTGTCATCAGGCTACAGTGCAGTGGCGCATTCTCAGCTTAACTGCAGCCTCCACCTCCTGGGTCAAGTGATTCTCCTGCCTCAGCCTCCAAAGTAGCTGGGACTACAGGCATGCACCACCACACCCAGCTTATTTTTGTATTTTTAGTAGAGACGAGGTTTCACTCTGTTGGCTAGGATGGTCTCGATCTCCTGACCTTGTGATCCACCCACCTTGGCCTCCCAAAGTGCTGAGATTATAGGTGTGAGCCACTGTGCCCGGCCAACAGTACCATTTTCTATCTCTCAGGAGTCTGCTTTCATCTGGGCTCACTCATGTATCTCTGATCAGGTGGCCGATCAGCTGGGAAGACTTCGCTTTCTCCACAAGTCTCTCACATCTCACCAGCAGCTAGCCTGATCTTGCTCTCAGGCCATGGCAGAGGGTACAGGAACGAGCAAGCCCAGCCATGCATGGAAACAAGTGGAAATGTATACACACTTTTCAAGTTTATGGCTGGCAGCTTGTTTGCTAACATCCCATTGGCCCAAGAAAGTGACACAGCCAAGCTCATTGTCAAAGTGGGGACAGATACAAAGTTGCAGGATAAGGAAGCCGTTAATTGGAGACATTAAATGCAATCAGTCTCCCAGTCAGGACCCCTCAGTGTGAAAGCAAACCTACAGATTTATATTTTTAAGTCAAGTTTGTCATAGTAGGAAAAATAAAAGTCCAAATAATGACTGTATTGGGCCTGTGCTATCGGCATACACAGGGTAGACACTTTACCTGCTATGCAGTAATGATCCTCACAACAACTCTGCAAGGTAGGTAGGAATTGGAGCCCAGAGAAGTTAAATAACTTGCTCAAGGTCACCCAGCCGATATGTGGTCAGGCAGGGATTAGAATGCATATCTGTTTGATTGCAAAGCCTAGATTGTTTTCACCATACTCACTACCTTTCAGGAGCACCAACCAGAGCCTTACCTTCCCTCTGACGCAATTTCCTGTTGAGTTGATGCTTTCTAACTAGCTGTACAAAACCCTCCTCCAAAATGGTGCTGCGATCCTAAGGGAATTGTGCGATTCTTCAGAAAACCCTCACATTCTCCTAAATTGTCCATTGACTAAAAGCATTCTTTCCTTCCAGTTGGGGATTGGTCCCTGAGCTACACAAGGCAGCCCAAGAATTGTGGCCACTCCCAGTCATGCCAGAGAAGGAAGGGCCATCTTCTCTTTAACCTTTAAGATTTGGGGATGTCAGGGAATTAGGACATTTGAGCATGAGCTTTGGAGTCAGGCTCACTAGGGTTGAACCACTTACTAGCTTTATAACCTTGGGCAACTCATTTAACTTCTCGAAATCTGTTTCTTCATCTAAAAAATGGGAATAAGAACACCTCGTTTGCAGAGCTGTTACAAGGACTAAATTTAAATTATGTCTATAAAGTGCCTAGCCCAGTGCCCAGCACGTAATAAGTGGCATTACTAATTATTGTTACCATTATTTTGAAGGAGAGCTTTTCCCCTCCTGGGAAACCCTGTTTCTGTCTGTTGGACAGGTTCCCCCTGTCTCCAGCCAGCCTGTGCAGACTTGCTGCCTGCTGTGTCACCGGGAACGCAAAGGCTGGGAAGAAGGCCCTTCTCAAAATGGACTGGTGTTGCAGGGTGAGAAGCTGCCCCCTGACTTCATGCCAAAGCTCGTCAAGAATCTCCTAGGCGAGATGCCTCTGTGGGTCTGCCAGAGTTGCCGAAAGAGCATGGAAGAAGATGAAAGGCAGACAGGTCGAGAACATGCAGTGGCGGTAGGTAACCGCTGACAAGGGGTACCTAAATGCAGGAGGGCAGCCTCCCCAAGGAAGTCAGGCTGTTCCCTGTCCTCAGGTGGCTTTTCTTGGGCAGCCCCCATCCCCAGGCACTGAGAAATGGCTGAGCTGCACTGACAGCATTGGCAGCTCAAGTTCAGATTTGGGGGAAGAAGAGAAACTTCTGGCAGCCCACCTGTCAGTCCCTCAGGGTAGTTGGTGCACAGGATGAGGATCCACCCATAAGTACTGGTAGATCATGAGCCTGCTGCCTTTGGCTCTGTGGCAGCTTGAAAACCAACCAGTACAATATAAAGGACGGAGATCAGTTTGAGGGTCTGAAATGTGCTCTAGTTAGAAGGACAGACACTTGGGAGCCATCTAAGTCTGCTGTCTCATGAATCACAATGGCCAGACTTCCCTCGTTTCTCATGTCCCTGCAGATCTTCCCTTTTACCCAGGATCAGTTTAGCTTCAGGACTCCTGGCCCAAAGGCCCTTTCTGTTATTGGCAACTCTCTACTCCCTAAAGACTTGCAGTTCACAGGCAGTCTTTGCCCCTAGCAGAATCTCTCTCCCAAGTCTCCACATACTTCATATAAGTGGGACCACCACAGCCCTTTCCCAGCAAAGTCCTGGCCCTCATTTGTTCTTGTAGCTAGAGTTGTGTTCATTGTGTTTTTGCTATGGCTCAGTGGCCTGGAGGAGAAGGGGCTCCCTCAGGAAAAGCTGAGGCAGTATAGGGTCAGCTCCGATGTTTGCTGTTTGACCATGAGCCTTTTTCCTCCCCCTTCTCCAGATCTCCTTGTCACACACATCCTGCAAATCACAGTCTTGTGGAGATGACTCTCATTCCTCCTCCTCTTCCTCATCATCATCCTCATCCTCGTCCTCCTCTTCCTGCCATGGGAACTCAGGAGACTGGGATCCTAGCTCGTTCCTATCGGCACATAAGCTCTCGGGCCTCTGGAATTCCCCACACTCCAGTGGGGCCATGCCAGACAGCTCTCTTGGGAGTCCTCCTACCATCCCCGGTAAGTCTCCAGGCTCGGGAGAGAGCCAGACCCTATAAATGTGGACAGCTGTGTTTTCCTATCCACTTTGTTCAAACAAATCATAAGACTGGTTACTAAAATAAGCAAAAGTGGAACTGTTCTGGTTGAAGCAGGGGCAGCTTAGACCTTGACTATCTCTGGAACTCTTTTCCCCACAACTCCGAACTTGAAAAATACTGCTAATAGAAAAACTGCCTCTCAAAGTTGTCACTGGCTCTGATAGTTCACATTGGATCAAGAGGGCACCCGATGAGGCCCATCTGAGTAGAAAGTGGAATTGTTAAGACTTAGATCACCTGACCCCTGCAGCACCACAGAGGACCTGGGCAACCTTATCTTCCGAGGCCTCGATTTCCCCACCTAAGGGTTAGATATCAAAGTGCTGCACTTAAATGCCCAAGAGATTGGCAGTGTACACCAAAATGATTATTAGCCAACGTAGCAGCTGTGTAAGTGTTCTTTAGATTCCGAAATAACTCTTAAGAGACCCAGAGACAAAACTCTTGAGTTATTGGTTTATATATAAATATGACTTACTGTCATACTTCTAAATGAAGGGGCTGAGAACTTCAAAATGGTGCCGCCCCCAGAATTATGAGTGTTGAGCAGTACGTAATTCCATTTATTTTGGTACATAAGCTAGAGAGTCATCAGAACCTTTTTCCCACTTCTGTGAAATCTAGGGCCCTCAAGGGTCTGGCATGCCCTGCTGCTTTGGTACACATGGCACAGGGGCAGAGCCTGGGCCTGCTGCTTCCCTGGCTTCTGCAGGTCATCCTCCAGGCCTGAGGAGAGCACCTGTGTACAAGCAGATCCTAGGGAGACCCTGAGAGACAGAATACATATACCCTGCTCATGCTACAGAAAAGGCATGGGGCCTTCTGTGGAATCAGCATTCCTAGTATCTTCTTGCTTGGGCCTGGACTCCTTGAGCCTGCTTAGCTGTGTTGCTGCCCACACAGAATTCTCTCTAGCTCCAGGGTCACCTGTGCTGGGATGCTCTGCCCTCTGGTCACAGAAGCAGGATGCTGTGGCAGTGAGCCTATGGGCTTTCCTTCCCAGGTATGGGCTCTCATTCTGACCCCTTTCTCCTCCCTCTGCCCACAGGTGAGGCTTTCCCCATGTCGGAGCACCACCAGCACTCAGACCTCACTGCTCCCCCTAACAGCCCCACTGGCCACCACCCCCAGCCAGCATCTCTAATCCCGTCTCTCCCCAGCTCCTTTGGTTCCCCACCCCACCCACACCTGCTGCCCACCACCCCGGCAGCACCTTTCCCTGCCCAGGCTTCAGAGTGCCCTGTCGCTGCTGCCTCCACCCCCCACACTCCAGGACCATGTCAGAGCTCCCATCTGCCCTCCACCAGCATGCCGCTCCTGAAGATGCCCCCGCCATTCTCGGGGTGCAGCCACCCCTGCAGCGGGCACTGTGGTGGGCACTGCAGTGGGCCTCTCCTCCCACCCCCGAGCTCTCAGCCACTCCCTAGCACTCACAGGTAAGTGTGCTGCATGAAGGGCAAACACTCTGCCCACTTGAACTCAGAATTTTGGAAAATTTTTAGGTAACTTTGAGGTGGAAATTAAAGAATAGACTATGTATTTTCTTTCATTATTTTTCCAATTGTAAAGAAGTATGTGTTTTGGCCAGGCACAGTGGCTCACACCTATACTCTTAGCGCTTTGGGAGGCCTAGGCAGGAAGATCACTTGAGCCTAGGGGTTTGAGACCAGCCTAGGCAACGTGGCGAGACCCCCTCTCTACAAAAAGTTTTGAAAATTACCTGGGCGTGATGACATGCAACTGTAGTTCTACCTTCTCAGGACGCTGAGGCAGCAGGATTGCTTGAACCCAGGAGTTTGAGGTTGCAGTGAGCATTGATCATGCCACTGCACTCCAGCTTGTATGACAGAGCTTAAAAAAAAAACAACTAGTATGTGGGTTTGCTTGTTTTGTATTTTGTTTTGTTTTGTCTTTAACTTGGAACAATTCAGAAATGTATAAGGAAAAAAATGTCCTCACAACCTAAATTCTACCACTGTAGTATATTTTCACCATGACGTTTCTGTATATAAATAACATAATTAGATATTTGATATACCTTTTGTATAGTAATTTTTGAACATTACGTCGTGATCATTTCCCCAGTTAAAATTCTTCAAGAAACTTTTCAATGGCCATATAATGTCTTACTGTATAGCGCAAGCATACTTTGTCATTCCCTCTATTCCTGGACATGTAGGCATTTCCAGTTTTTTAACCATGATGAATGAGACTGTAATAACCATCCCTGCACCTAAATCTGTTTGAATGAGAAATCATGTCCTTTAGGGAGATTCTTAGAAGTAGCTCTACTAAGAAAGGTTATATTAACATATATTTGAAAGAGAATTCTTTGGTGAAGATGTGTACTTTTATGTTATAACTCAGATCTGTGTTTATTGTGTATTATATTTTCCTATTGGAAAGTCTCCTGTGCCTTGCACATGCTGGGTTGACAGTGTCTGCACAGTCTGCTGCCCGCCAGTGTTCACTTTGTGTTCCCTCCTCAGCATGTTTGTATTCCTGTGGTGTTCTCAGCACCTAGCTTCAAAGACTGGAGAACATCGACTGCAATTCATGTTATTGTTCCCCAGTCGCTGAGCATTTAGGTTATTTTAACATTTTAACATTACCAACAGTGTCTCTAAAGATGTATTTGCTTAAAGCATTTTCCTCTTTTGGATTTTTCTCATTGGAATCAAGTTCTCCGAATGAAAAAAGTTATCAGTTAAAGGCTGTTTAGGTGTTTTTTTGTGTGTTTTGTGTTCTTTTTGAGGGTTCTTAATACACATTGAAAAACTGCTATCCAAAGGGCTCTCCAAATTGATGCAATCTCCAGTGAGTGCTGGTTTTTCCATATTCTCAGGCACACTATTTTAATTTTTCTAAAATCATTTTTGCAGCGTGGTATGCTAGCTCATGCCTATAATCCCAGCACTTTGGGAGGCCAAGGTGGAAAGATTCCTTGAACCCAGGAGTTGGAGACTAGCAGGGGCATCATAATGAGACCCTGTCTCTATAAAAAATTTAAAAATTAGTAGGGCATGCTGTACATGCCTCTAGTTCCAGCTACTCAGGTTGCTGGGAATGAGGTAGGAGGATCCCTTTTAGCCTGGGAGGTATAGGCTGCAGTGAGCTGACATCATGCCACTGAACTCTACCCTGGGCAACAAAGTGAGAGCCTGTCTCAAAAATAAAATCAATTTTGCTAATGCAATAGATAACGAATGGTCAGTTTGGAATAAACTTCTGTAAGCACCATTGATGATGATTCCTCCCACCATCTTTTTTAATCCTTGTCCCTTGTTTAGCATCCTTTCTAGCAGCAGAGAGGGCTGCTTTGGACTGCCCTGGAAGCTGGGCACACAGCTCCTTGAGCTCCGTCCTTGCTCTCAGTTCCCTTGCCACCTTATCCTCACCCCAGTGTTGGGACCAGCCCAATGGGTGCTTCAGCTGCTCATGACCCAGCCTAAGGGTTCAGCTCTTCCTGGCTCAAATTATGGGATGTTTCAGGCATATGTCTCATTCTTACCCTGGGAAAATAGTCTATATTACAAGATATCCCAGTGCTTCCTGAAATTCAGAGGCAGAACAGTACAGTGGAGAGAGTATGAATTTTGCATAGAGAGAAATGGGGGCTTGAGTTCCCTGCGTCTCCCCTACCTGTACCCACCATTCATCCCTTCTCAGGGCCTGTGCATTCCTCACTTTATCCTCCTGTTCATTGTGCATCATTGTCAGGGTCTGTTTGCATCCTTGAGTCCTGGCCACCAGTTGGACAAATCATTCAAGTTTTCAGCTTCACTCTCCACCACTGCAAAGTGGGGATAATGACACTTATATTGCAGGATTTGGGGGATGGTTAGAAATAATGTGCCGAATCCAGAACCTAGCACAAACAGTGGCTCTTATAATCTGTGGCCCAGAAGTTACTTGCTTTTCCTCAACTCTGTGCCCTGTGGTTAAGGCAGCTCCACCCACTGCTCCAGAGCACCAGACTCGACCAAGAAGCACCTTAGAAAGTGGAAGGAGACTGACCTCGTGGATAGTCTGGTTTTCCAGAGGAGCCATCAGCCCACTACTGGGTTCAGACCTATTTATTGAGCACTTGCTGTGTACAAGGTTGTTATACTATATACTGGGACCCAAAAATAGAAGTGAGACAGCCCCTGGCCTTGAGATGTGCAGTCTAGTTTAAGAGATAGATGCACACACACACACACACACACCATGACAGTGACACACAATAAGCGGAGGATAGAGTGAGGTGTGCTCAGTAGCCTGAGAAGGGGTGCATGGTGGGTGCAGGCAGGGGAGGCATGGGGCCTCTTCTTTCCAGAAGAGCCACATTTGTGTTTGGGATGGGCCCTGAGGGACAGTGCGGGTGTTCACCCTGTTCTGGTGAGAGGTGCAATGCAGTTGGACTGCCTAGGCTCTTTGTGGAGTGGGGCAAGTGAAGGGTGGTCTGGACAGCAGGTGGTGGTTGGGATGCTTCCTGGCCTCCTGTGTCACTCTCCCTCACCTCTGGGCCTTCCTCCCCATCAGCAGGGATCCTGGGTGCAAGGGGCACAAGTTTGCACACAGTGGCCTGGCTTGCCAGCTGCCCCAGCCCTGTGAAGCAGATGAGGGGCTGGGTGAGGAAGAGGATAGCAGCTCTGAGCGAAGCTCCTGCACCTCGTCCTCTACCCACCAGAGAGATGGGAAGTTCTGTGACTGCTGCTACTGTGAGTTCTTCGGCCACAATGCGGTGAGTGAGCCTGCCCAGGCCAGAGAGGGCTGGGGGCCAGCCAAGGTGAGCAAAAGGAGCACCCTGCTCTCCCCAGAGGCCCCCTTGCTCATGGTGGTAAATACCAACCACACTGGGGCTGTGTGAGTCCTCGCACCTGCGTCCGCTCGCTTGAGTCTCACAGCACATTTGTGAGGTAGGGGTTTTTAAACATTTTGCTACCTTTGCTCTTCTTGTGGTTTCTCTTAAGATTGACTTTTTTTCCTTAGGCGAAAGGAAAGGAAATGGCAGAGAGCTATGATTCTGATGAGTATGTATACGTGTGTAATCCCAGAGAAGTGAACGCTTGGGCGTGATGAAGGCAGAGTGGAAGCAAAAAGGCTCTCAGTCCCCCAAGTGTGACAGCCAGCCGAGGGACAGGCCGTGAGCACAGACGGCGCCAGGAAGGAGGCTCAGATCAGAGGGCATGCTGGCTCTGGCCAGGGGGAGGAAGCAGTGCAGAAGTCTCATAAGGTGAAGAGGAGAGGGCTGCCGGTTAGGGTAGAGCAGCTGAGGATAGAAGAAATGAAAGTAATTAAATTGCTAGTCACCTTTGAGCTAGGGGTTATTATCCTTGTTTTAGAAATGACAAAATTGAGGCTCACAAAGACTCAGTGACTTGCCCAAGGTCATACAGCTTCCCAGTGATAAAGCCCGGGTTCCAACTTGCTTTCCTGGCTCCCCAGTCAATTATTTGCCCAGTTCTACCCTGTTCCCTCCCAGTCCCTTCACCCACTGCTGCCTGGGTTCAGTCTGGCTGAGAGGGTGAAGCCATGTGGCCTTGGTGGCTAATGGTAGAACAGTTGTCTTGCTTCTCATCACATACTTGGTGCCAGCGGGTGGGAGTGCTATGGGCCTCCCAGGCCCAGGGTGTAATGTCAGCACCTCCCCCTCCCCCAGCCACCCGCTGCCCCGACGAGTCGGAATTATACTGAGATCCGGGAGAAGCTCCGCTCGAGGCTGACCAGGCGGAAAGAGGAGCTGCCCATGAAGGGGGGCGCCCTGGGCGGGATCCCTGGGGAGCCCGCCGTGGACCACCGAGATGTGGATGAGCTGCTGGAATTCATCAACAGCACGGAGCCCAAAGTCCCCAACAGCACCAGGGCCGCCAAGCGGGCCCGGCACAAGCTGAAAAAGAAGGTGGGTGTAGGGGGAGCCCAGCTCTGCCATCTCTCGTCCCTGAGGACCCTCACCCCAACCCCCAGGACTTCTGGGGCATGAATAATGCTGGCTGCCAACGGCCTCAGCTTGACTTACTTTTCTGGGAAGGTCTGAATGAGTTTGGGAGGCATCAGGGTCAGGGAGCCTGGGGGCAAATAACTGGAGGAAAAAGTGTCCTGGCCTGAGAAGCTGCTTGCTGGATTCCTCCAAGCCGAGGACTTGCTTCAGTCAGTCATTTATTCGTTCAGCAAACACTTCTACAAATACTGGCAGCCAAAGTGTGTGACACAGTTAAGTTTTCACCCAGGAGAAGCTGAGTCCAGTGGGGAGACTGACACAAAACTGGACAAGCATATTAGCATGTGACAAGTACTGGGATGAGGGAAGTCCCCCATCCTGCCTGGAAATGGCTTTACAAGAGGCTGACTGAGTACAGACTCCTGAGGAGGGCTCTCCTGGCAGCAGGCACGGCACATTCCACAGGAGCTTGACAGCCAAAACTGAGCAGAAGAGAGGCGGGATGGACAGTGTTGTTGAGGGAGGGCCTCCAAGGCCCTGCAGAAGAGCTTTGGCTTTATCCTACGGGTGAGAGAAGTCACTGAGGGTTTTAATCAAAGAATGCACTTGGTCACACCTGCATCCTAAGATTATAGCATGGCCAAATGGAAGGTAGCTTGGAGGGTTCCAGGCAGGAAGACCTCAAGTTCGATGCCTCAGGCAGGAAATGCAGGCCAAGGGAGAGATGACTGATGTTGGGGCCAGAGAAGAAGAGAGGGATTTTCAGAGGAAGCTGAAGTGATGGGCCATTGATCTGATGGCAGGAGAGGGAGATGGAGGCAGGGATGTCTCCCAGGTGTTTGCTTGGTGACCAGCAAGATGGTGGTGCCTTTCACTGAGCCAGGATGGATTTGCAGAAGACAGTGAACTCAGTTGAGGCATGTTGACTCGAAGGTTCCCGTGAGACATCTAAGTGGAGAAGTGCAGGGCTAGCATTTACCAGCACAGAGATGTAATTGAAGCCAGGGGAATGAACCAGTCCTCGGGGCTGAGGATGGAACCCGGTGAGCTATTACCAGGCAGCCCTCCTGCCAGATGAGCCCTGGAGCTTGATGGCTTATCCCTTGTGGCTTCATTACCTCTTCATCTGCCTACTCCCAACTGCATCTGCACAGTGACACGCTTGGGAGCTCAGCATCCGAAGAGATTTGGGTGTATCAACCAGCTAGTTCCAGCTCCTGGGTGGTCAAACAGCCCTAGTGCTTTGGAAAGCAGAAGTGATTCACCATCCTTTTTCAGCCCCAAGGACAACCAGGATCCTTCTCCTGCCACCTGAAGTAGTGAGCCAAGCGGTCCCACCGCTGCCTTCTGAATGTGTCTTTCTCCCATGCAGAGTCACCCAGCCAGAAAGGTTCAGTGGGCTGCAGTAGTCCCTCTGGCCTTTCCTGGCTTCTTAGGGCAGTGGTTCCCAGTTAGGTCCCCAGAGAGCACACCCGACAGTTCCCAGATCTGGTGTGCTTTTCGTAAGTCTGTGTGCCCAGATGTCTCTTCCCCTTTACTGATAATGTTATCTTCTCTCTCCTTTTCTTCTGACAAACTTTCCTTCCAAGCTCAGTTCAGCTGCTTTCTCCTTCATAGCCGTCCTTGGGTAACTTCCACTGTATTCCTGCCCCACCTCATATATCTCGAGGTTCTGCTCACTCATCCCACAGCTCACTGCACAGCTCCTGTCTGGCAGGCCCAGGCAGAACCAGGCAGCCCTGCCTTTCCAGACTTAGTCGTGGGGCTGCAGGCAGGAATAAATAGGCAGTGGCAGTATCATGTGTACAGAGATTGTGGTCATTATCTCTGTAGACAGCAGCCTCCTCCCTTGTCTCCCCCTACCTCCTGGACTTCACAGTCTGGCTGTCCAGCAAAGCCCAGCCACCCCCAGTAGCTGTTTCATGACAGCTGCTCCTTCTCTCCTGCCTCAGCAGATGGACACAACCCAGTGTCTCTCTGCTCCCTTTTCCCACTGCCAGCCCGTGGCTCTCTCTCCTTCTGTCTTGGTGTCTCTGTCTACACAAAGGGTAAAGTCATGGGTTGGCAGTGGGAGAAAGGAGCAGAGAGACAATTAGCCTGCTCCTTTAAAACTATACCCTTGGCTGTGTCATCTGTGACCTCTGTACCACTCTTCCACATCCACCGAAGACTCTCCTGATGCTTTCTCTTCTTCCCAGGCCAGTCTGTTCCTCACTCACTTGAATGGAATAAGCATTGCTAAGTATTGGTAGGAGGGCAGGCAAATTGACCCATCACCCACTCTCTTACCAGTACTCAATTCCTTGCCCCACTATCTTTCCTTCAGACCCCTCAGAAACACTGCAGCCCTGGGTTCCACCCCAGCCTGGCTCTCCCTTTCTACATCTCAAGAAAAGCATGTGAGTGAATCTGTGGCACCCAGCCATGTGGACTCCGCTTGCCAAGCTCCCATGTCGCCAGGCAGGCTTCTCATGGTTCCCTGGGCTTCCTGTGCCTTAGCACATCCATTCCCCACAGTCCCTCTGTCAGGCCTCCATTCCCAAACCGGTAGGCCTTAGCAGCCCATGCCTTATTTTTTGGCAAATAACCTCACTTTCTATTTCAACAAGGAAAAAAGCCATTGTACAGGGATTCTCCTGCTGTCTTGCCATTCCCACTTGCAAACATACTTTCTTCCTTGTCATGAGAATCACCCTTTCCCCGCCTAAGGCCCATGTGGTACTTTCTTGACCCCCTCAGCCCAGCCACAGCCTCCTGCTATAGCTTAGTCTCTCCTCCTTGCTGTTCCTATCCACATTTCATTGTGTCCACCACTCTCTGTTGGAAGTAAAGTCTGTTACCTTTCTCTCAGCCCCTCCCCAGCCTCTTTCCTGTCATCACATCCACATTTCTTGAAAAATGATGTCTGCATTCACTGTCTTCACTTCCCCTCCAGTTAGCTCACTGCAGACTGTTTTCTACCCACACCCTCTCCAAAGTCACCAGTGACTTTTCTGTTGCCAAATCCATTCTCCTCTCCTGTTCTCATCATATCAGTCCACTAGAGAACATCTGGCATTTTGTGTTTGTTCTCCTTCTCAAGCATTGCCTTTGGCTCCTCTGTCCCTCAGCCAGGCAGGAAAGGGCAGGGGGACTGCCATGTTCTCCAGATTTCTTACCTTCCTCTCTGATGTCCTTTCTGTCTCCTTTGTGAGCTCCTCTTCCTCCACTTGACCCTCCTTCATAGGGACATCTCCTTGGGAAAGAGATGCCATCTAGAAACAGCCAAATAGTGTTTCCTCCCTGCCCTGCACATCCACATCTCCAGCTGCTACTGGGCACCTCCTTGTTGTGCATATCCCACAGGCATCTCAGATTCTGCACATCCAAAGTTCAGCTTGCAGTCTTTCTCCAAAGAGGCCTGCTATCCATTCTCTGTTGTCTGTCTAGTCAGTGGCACTGCCTCCCACCCTGTTGCCTGAGCTGGAGCCCTGGGTGCTGGCCTGAGGAGTGCATCATAGCGACCCAGAGCAGCGTGCCTGGAACTGGATCTCAGTTTGATGCTTGGCTCTGCCACACTTGCTGTATGACCTTGGGCAAATCACTTAACTTCTAAGCCTCAGTTTCTTCATCCATAAAATGAGAATAACAGAACCTAAGTCATAGATTGTTGTGAGGATGAAATGGAATGATGCATGGAAAGGTTGGGCAGAGTGCCTGGCACGTGTGAGTGCTTGGGCAATGGAGCTGCTATGGCAGCCATAGTGGTTGTCAGTGTTTTTCTGATTTTTCTCATTCTCTGTCCCTACCCATCACCAAAAGCCCTATCCATGCCACCTCGCTGACAGCTCAGACCAGTCCACTGCTCTCCACCCTACTACCACTACCTTAAAAGCCATCAGTGGCTGGACATTGCCTTTGGGCACACACCCTGTAGGGCCTGCAGGGGTCTTCACAATCAGCCCCTGCCCAGCTTGCCAGCTTTATCAGCCTCTCCTTTCTGGCCTTCCTGCCCATCTGCCCCATCCAACCCCCACATCCCCTAAAAAATCTGGGCTACAGCTGTACCTCTGAATGATTTGCATTCCCAGAAGCTTTTCCATTTCCAGCCTTTCTGCTTGCATTCCTTCTCTCTAGAAAATGCTTGTCTCTGCCTCCAGGACGATCCCACTCCCGCTTCTGTGCTCAGGTTCCCTGCCGCCTCTGAGAAGCACACCCTGGTGACCCAGTCTGGGTTGGGAGCACCTCCTCTAGGTTCCCAGGTCACCCTGTGCTTGCTTCCATGCAGCACTTATTACTGTCACTCTCAATTCAACAGGCTGTTTGCTGTTGTCTCCCCCAGCAGACTAAAGTCAGCGAGGCGGAGACTATCGCTCGTACACTAAACTCACAGGGCCTACCCCACTGCCTCATAGCCTCAATGGTTGGTAAATGGTCAGATGGAATTGAGAAACATATGAACTTCAGAAGAACAGGCCTGGGTGTTTTGTCCTGGCTCTCCTACTTCCTAGCCACTTCCTGTTCTTTCCAAAGTCGAGGTTTCTCTCCTATAAACAGAGGGTCATGATGCAGCAGACAGTGGCAAGGATTAAAAGACATACCTATGTGAAGTGCTCACCATACAGAGCAGAAAGTGTATGTTTCTGTGCTTTCTTCTCTTGCTACCAGAGTGTATATTGTTCCATGTCACTCCCTCCACACCAGTATTTGTCAGACTTCTTTTTTTAGCAGCAAAACTTTTCTGTGAAATCTGTGTGGTGCTGGGGGGAAGTGACCTGAAGGGCCCTCGGTCCTCATTGGTCCAAACCCAGGGCCTCTGAGCTCTACCCATAGCTAGAAATGCTGCTGCAGCTGCTGCAGGACAAGCTGCTCCCTGAGGGTTATGAGGCCCAGCCCCACCTTTGCACATGGGAAGGGATCCCACACAGACTCTTAGCTGTCCTCATAGTGACCCTGGAATGTAGAGATACCTCTTCTTTCTAATTTACCAATAGGGAAAGTAAGGTTCAGAGAGAATAAGTGATTTGTCCAAGGTCCCACAGAACAATTAACCATAGTCCATTGTGAAGCCAGGGTTCACAAAGTGCCTGCCTGGCGGGGCACAGAGTCACCCTCTTTATGTTGACTCTGAGGTGGTAGCAAGCCCTTATTTCAGTTCCCTAGATCCAGTTCTATCAAAGCCAACTGGCAGGGCCCAGCCTCCCTGAGCCTTCGAGGCCTCACTTGGGTAAAGGAGCCGCTCTCACATCTTGCTGTGTAGGCCAGTGCCACTGGGCACACTGTAGGTGTGGCCTTGATTATTTGAGACCAAGTGTGCAGCAAGTGGCCTTTCTACGGGAACACTGCCCTCTTTGGTAATACCCAGACATAGCATCAGGAAGGCACATGCCCTCCCAACCAGAGCAGTCTCATCTGCCCCCACACCTGCCTCCTGTAAGACCCCATGATGGTGTGGCTTTTTTCCCACCACCAGCAGGGGTGGAGAGAATGCCTCTCTAGTAGCATTCTTCTTCACATGCATTCCCACTTTGGCTTTACTTCGGAATTATTGTCCCCATTGTGCAGATGAGTGCACTGAGACTGGGGCTCTGGGTGGACAAGCTGTAAAAACCCTGCCCTCTGTGGGTGTGACTGTACCCCTGCCGCCAGGACAGCACCTGTGTGGCTGCATTTTGCCCTCACTCCTGCAGGGTAGGTAAGCAGGCTAGGATTTTAAGGCTTTGCCTCCAGCAAGTTCGTGGCAAAGCTGGGCCCCAGGTTGATAGGTCAGGTATCACATTGTGCCTAGAAGTTGACAGGCCCCTGCTGAAACTGCCTCTTGTCTTGACAGGAAAAGGAGAAGGCCCAGTTGGCAGCAGAAGCTCTAAAGCAGGCAAATCGTGTTTCTGGAAGCCGGGAGCCAAGGCCTGCCAGGGAGAAGTTCTTGGAGTGGCCTGACCAGGAACTGGATCGGGTCAACAGCTTCCTGAGCAGCCGTCTGCAGGAGATCAAAAACACTGTCAAGGACTCCATCCGTGCCAGCTTCAGTGTGTGTGAGCTCAGCATGGACAGCAATGGCTTCTCTAAGGAGGGAGCTGCTGAGCCCGAGCCTCAGAGTCTACCCCCCTCAAACCTCAGTGGCTTGGCAGAGCAGCAGCCTGACATCAACCTTGACCTGTCCCCTTTGACTTTGGCCTCCCCCCAGAACCACACGTTACAAGCTCCAGGCGAGCCAGCCCTACCATGGACGGAAATGAGAGGCCCCCACCCACCATGGACCGAGGTGAGGGGCCCCCCTCCCGGTATCGTCCCTGAGAACGGGCTCGTCAGGAGACTCAACACCGTGCCCAACCTGTCCCGGGTGATCTGGGTCAAGACACCCAAGCCAAGTTACCCCAGCTCTGAGGAGCCAAGCTCAAAGGATATTCCCAGTTGCAAGCAGGAGCTGCCTGAGCCTGTGGCCTCAGGTGGGAAGCCGCGGAAGGGCAAGAGGCAGGGCAGTCAAGCCAAGAAGAGCGAAGCAAGCCCAGCCCCCCAGCCCCCAGCCAGCCTAGAGGCTCCCACTGCCAAGGGCCAGATTGCTGGCCCCAAGCAGGCAGGCAAGATCCCAGAGCCTCCCAAAGTAGGCAGCTATGCCGAGGCTGGAGAGGGGAGCCGGGGGAGCCGGCCAGGACCAGGTTGGGCCGGCAGCCCCAAAACTGAGAAGGAAAAGGGCAGCTCCTGGCGAAACTGGCCAGGCGAGGCCAAGGCACGGCCTCTGGAGCAGGAGTCTCTGCAGCCCCCAGGCCCAGCAAGGCCACAGAGCTTGCCCCAGGGCAAGGGCCGCAGCCGCCGGAGCCGCAACAAGCAGGAGAAGCCAGCCTCCTCCTTGGGTGAGTGCACCAGGAACCGAGTGGCTGACCCCCTACCCCAGCCAGGCCACGGGGTGGAGGGGCAGCCTTTGTGTGTAGGCAACGCTGCCCCCAGACCATAACCCCAGAGGCCTAGCCATGGGCACTGAGCCCTCCTGGCTGTGTCTTCCTAGACGATGTGTTCCTGCCCAAGGACATGGACGGGGTGGAGATGGATGAGACTGACCGAGAGGTGGAGTACTTTAAGAGGTAGGTGTGGGCTGCCTGCTCTCCCACTGTGGAGGACTCCAGGTCCTGCCCACACTCAAGCCCCATGTTGTGCTTCAGGCCTCAGAAAGGCCTGCTCCCTTGCCCCTGACCCCTTGGGGAGGCTTGCCGCCCTTCTCAGCCCTCTCCCACCAGCCTGCCTGCTGAAAACTCAGAGCCACTGAGCGGGATGGCACATCTAGGAAGGTACAAGAGACAGAGAGGAGGAGGCATGTCAGGCTCCAAGAACCAGGGCTTTTTCCAGCTTTGTTTGCTTTGTATCTTCACTTGCACATTCTCTGCTTTGCCTGGGCTGAGGTCAATGAAGCAGTCTAGATGGCCGTGAACACCCAGCCTACTGATAAATGCCATGGGGTTGGGAAGGATAGAAGGGGTGGGGGCTGGCCAGGAGGCCTTCCCATGAGAGGTGGTAACCAGGCTGAAACCTGAAGTAAGAATGAGTTGGCCAGATAAAATGAAAAAGTATTTATGCTGGGTGGGCCAGTGAGTACAAAAGATTAGGGTGAAAGAAACACAGCATACGGTCACCCTCCATATCTGCAGGTTCTGCATCTGCGGATGAAAAATATTCAAGAAAAAAAGCACAAAAATAGCAATACATTACTAAATAATGTGAATTTTTTTTAAATTGGTATTTTTGGTCAGGCACAGTAGCTCACACCTCTAACCCTAGCACTTTGGGAGGCCGAAGCAGGCAGATCACCTGAGGTCAAGAGTTGGAGACCAGCCTGACCAACATGGTGAATCCCTGTCTCTACTAAAAATACAAAAATTAGCTAGGCCTGGTGGCACATGCCTGTAATCCCAGCTATACTCGGGAGGCTGGGGCAGGAGGATCACTGAAACCTGGGAGAGAGGCTGCAGTGAGCTGAGATTGTGCCATTGCACTCCAGCTTGGGCCACAGAGTGGGACTCCATCTCAAAAAAAAAAAGGTATTTTTACAGGCCGTGGCTTACACCTATAATTTCAGCACTTTGGGAGGCCAGGGCAGGCAGATAACCCAAGATACTTGAGGTCCAGAGTTCAAGACCAGCCTGGCCAACATGGTAAAACCACATCTCTACTAAAAATACAAAAATTAGTTGGGCATGGTGGTGCATGCCTGTGATCCAAGCTACTCAAGAGGCTGGGGTAGAAGAATCACTTATACCTGGGAGTCAGAGGTTGCAGTGAGCCAGGATTGTGCCATCACACTCCAGCCTGGGCAATAGAGCAAGACTGTCTCAAAAATAAATAAATAAAAATGTAATAACTATATAGCATTTAAGGTCTTTAAGTAATCTAGAGATGACTTAAAGTATATGGGAAGGCCAGGTACAGTGGCTCACGCCTGGGATCAGCACTTTGGAAGGCCAAGGTGGGAGGATCACTTGACCTCAGGAGTTTGAGACCAGCCTGGTCAATATAGTGCAACCCCATCTCTTTAAAAAAAAAAAAAAAAAAAAAGATAAAGTATATGGGAAGAGCTGTGTAGGTTATATGCAAATACTACATCATTTTATATAAAGAACTTGTGCATCTGCAGATTTCTGTATCTGGGGAGGTCCTGGAACTAATCCGCTGCAGATTCAGAGGGACAGCTGTACTTAAGGGAATGATGGAAGCCAGCCCAGCAGAGCTAGAAAGTCAAATACCAGTTGAGGAGGGAACTGGAATCACTGTCTTCATACGTTGTCCCCTGGGCCCAGTCCAGAAGCCCCCAAGCCAGCAAAGCTCCTATGCCTGCTAAACCCTAATACCTGAAAGCCAAAGAGGTTGTGTAGAGAACCTGGTTTCTTAGTGATGGGGACATGGTACCTTAGGAGTCCAGTGAGGAAGGGAGGGAACCTCTGATTGTCCTCTTGTGTCCCTCAAACCCAACAGGTTCTGTTTGGATTCTGCAAAGCAAACTCGTCAGAAAGTTGCTGTGAACTGGACCAACTTCAGCCTCAAGAAAACCACTCCCAGCACAGCTCAGTGAGGTACACAGACCCCAAGTGTTAAACATGCACTGCCTCTGCCTGTGCTTGGCCACCTTCTATGCCCCCGCCAGACTATTCTGTGCTCTGGGGCAGAGGGAGTTGGACTTTGGGCATGGGGGCCCTGGCTTCTGCACTTCCACAGCAATGGCACAACTGGCTACAGTCTCCAAAGGTCTAGGCCCCATCTCCTCCTACAACCACTCAGCTGTAGGCCTCTGTTCTTCTGTTCCTCCTCCCTGGGCCCTCCTGCCCATGTTCCTGAAGGGCCCCTTCCTGGACTGCCATCCCCTAGGGTATCACCACCAGGGTCTTACCAGCTGCTTTCAAAAGTGCCCAGGTAGCTGTTGGACTCATAGGGCTGCCATCACCCCTTATGTTATCATACCTTGCGTCAAGTCCTACTTCCTGGCCTGGACTCCTCAAATGTAGGCTACCAAGGTGCTTCCCAGCTGAAGCAGTGTAAGAAGGGGCTGGCCCTGAGTGCACATCATAGAGGACAGCCATCTTGTAGGTCTGACAGTTTGTAGGTCATTTAGGCATGGAGGAGTTAATAGGGGCTCCCCGAAGCAGTACAAGTTCCATGAGGATATTGGTAGCCACACTGCCTCCAAGAAGAGGAGACCTGGCTGCCACATGGCTTTGGCATCCCCTCCCAGCCACCCACACAGGTCCTTTTGTCTGAAACTGATGTATCAGATGATGATCTGGACTGGGAACAGAAGCCTGGAAACGGCATTGAGCCGGGAATCCTATTGATGAAGAGAGGGGCAGCTAACAGGCAGGCCCTGGGCTGGGCTGGGGGCCAAGTGGCTCTGCAGTTTCATATCTCAACCCTCAGCTGCACCCCTGGGGTCAGGCCTTTTCTGGCTGGCAACCACACAGCTGTTCTGGAGACAGTAAGGCTGAGGCAGGCAGCTGAGCTCACAAACAACTCACTTCCCCTCTGATGGCCCCACCTGTCTTTTTCCTCTTTCCATTGCCAAAGCAGCTCCTCTCTGGGCCTAAGCAGCAGACTTCCTGGACCCTCAGCTCCCCAGGGCAGCCCAGAGAGCCTGCAGCCAGGGTAGCCTTCAGAGCTGGGGCTCCCTGTGACCTCTGTGCTGCTCCAGAGTCCAGATCGTCTTCCTTACACTCACTTTAATCCTCCTCTGCTCTGAGGGGGCTATGCTTAGTCAGCCCCCTTTGCCAAATTAAGATGCCCATAAGCCCCAGAAGTGTCTTCCAGAGCCAAGGTGCCCTCCCACCTCTCTTCTCCACCTTCATGGGAACCAGGAGCAGCAGGAACCCCAAGCACTTCATCTGTTATCCCTACTGAGAGAAAAAGAGATTGCATCTCCTCCCACAAGCCCAGTTCTGTCATCCAGGAAATCAAATGCAATCATCTCCTTCCTCTTGACTCTTTTTCACCTTGTCTGGTCTCTTTTCCAAGATAGGAGATGCCACTCTCCCCACCCCCTAGTAAATGCTCTCCTTTGACCCTCTCCACCCTTCTCCCGGCTGTGCACCTAGAGTCAGAGGCAAGAGCACAGTTGCACAGCTGGCTTCCCAGCAGCTGCCGATAGACACCAAGTACCAGAGGCTGGATCTACTAGATTGTCCCACATCTTCTCAGGATCCCAGGACTGGGGCTATGTCCCCCAACCCATTAACCTTCATCCTCTGCTACAGGTGATCCAGGGAATCTGTTCAACATTTTCAGCCCAGGGAACAAAAATAGCCAGCTGTTTCTGCCACCAAAGACCCATGGGGAACCAAATGGCACAGGAAGGCTGGAGCATGAGCTGTTGCTTACTGTGATCCTGCTCTTTTTTTCTTTCTCAGGCCCTGCCCAGGCTGAGCTTCTTCAGGGTGTCCTGAGGCTCTGACTGCCAGCTGAAGGCCTACAGTTTTTCCCTCCATGTGCTCCACCTACCCACCTAAGACCCTGTCTGCTCCCCAACATCCTGGACCAACCAAAAGCTGAACGGATGCCACACTGTGCTGGGGCCCCTTGACCTCAGCAGAGCCGCTTCCTGGTGCTACGCAGCCTCCACACTCAGAGCCTGCGGACTGGGCTGGCCTAAGGGCCGGGGCTGATGGTACTGCTGGCCCGACACTGCTCTCTTTGTGTTCGGTTTTTTGTTTTTGTTTTTATTTTATTTTTTTCCAATTCTTTACTTTTGATACTGTGAAGATCTTTCATGCTGAAAGATAAAGTAACATTTGGACACAGAGTTGACATGTTGGTGATTTGCTGGTCTGGGTGGGGAGGGAGTTGAGGGTGTGCTCAGAAGCATGGGCTCTGCCTTAGCATGTGCCATCCATCAGCAGTTCAGTACTATTGTCCCATTTTACAGATGAGGAAACTGAAGTCAATAGGAAAGTGACTCAGCTGAACTCAGTCTGGCCAATTAGGGTTGAACACAGACTGGTATGACTCTGGCATCTGTGCCCTTTTCTCCTGTTGGGAGAACTCTGGTATGTTAGCCTAGGACAGCCCCTTCCCCAGTCTTTCTTGTTTCCCTCTTTGCAAGTTGGGTGAGTTGGGGAGGTTGAAGTTGGTCTCTGTGCATATGGATGTGAGAAGAGGTGTAGGAAAGACCCTAGGGCCTTCATAGACCTGTAACCTGGGCCATCAAGGCCCCTCATACTGACTTCACACACAGTCAGGGGAAGTTGGGGGTAAATTGAGTTTTTTTGTTTGTTAATTTTAATTAGAATAAGGCTAAGTTCAAATTGAGTTTTTTATAAATTAGATCTGATTTTCCAGTGGGGGTGGGACATATAGCTGAGGACTTGAGAGTTAAGAGGATAATGAACCCTTCTGTAAAGTCATGCAAACTACCTCATCCCCTGAAATTGATCTGGTTTGTAAATTTAGGTTTTAATATAATGAGTTTGCCCAAAATGCCCTTCACACACTTGTGTCCAAACTCCATGCCCCGAATTTAGTTTTTGCTCCTAAAACCAACTCAAGCTTATGTGGGGAGCTCACAAGGTCACAAAGAGCCATGTATTTGAGTGTTATGAGCAGGACCAGAAACCATGTCCTCCATCTTTCCCAGGTTGAGACCCACCATGGGACTGGCAGTAAGCACCAGCTTTTTAATTTTTTTTATAGAGATGGGGTCTTGCTGTGTTGTCCAGGCTGTTCTCAAACTCCTGGCCTCAAGCCATCCTCCTGCCTTGGCCTCCCAGAGAGCTGGGATTACAGGAATGAGTCACTGTGCCCGGCGTAAGGTTTTTTTTTTTTTTTACTAAAGAAAAGAACAGCAGTGCCCGCAGACTCTCAGTTCCTGGTCCCCAGCCTTTCCCAATCCCCAAGGGAAATGTGAAACCTTTCTCTGTATTTGTTGGCTGCGTTCCTCTCTCCTGTGGGCTGTTGTACATTCCTGCCCTGCTGCAGTTGAATTGGCAGTGCTACCTAAAATTCTGCTTCATCCAAAATTTGCAGGTCTGATCAAGCAGCCCATCTATCTACAGAAACAGACTTCTGTGAGTGGCATTTGGGACCTTCGTGCCTGGGCCCCTGACTCCAGTACTTGTTCCAGCCATGCTGGACGACCTTCCTCTCCAGTTAGGTCCCATACCGTCAGTTCTCCCAACTTTCACGTATTTTCCTCCTCTCAGTTTACCCTTTTTTCATGAATTCCTGTGTATCCTTCACATCCCACCCAAGAGGCCATTATACTATGAAAACTATGACCCTTCCGAAAGCGGTACCTTGTCTTAGGATCTTTCTCTTTAACTTTAGGACCAGTTATCTGTGTATATTTCTAGTCTCAACTGAACCATAAGCTTCCACACGGGATTTCACCATGTTGGTCAGGCTGGTCTTGAACTCCCGACCTCAGGTGATCTGCCCGCCTTGGCCTCCAAAGTGCTTGGATTACAGGCGTGAGCCACCACGCCCGGCTTTTTTTTTTTTTTTTTTTTAATGTGTCTTGATTATCATCCGCTTAAGCGCTGTGCCCAGCACATATTCCTGAAGGAAATAAAGCACGGAGCTGACCAAGTCATTCCTCCTTAGAAGTCTCTAATAAAGTTGAAACCACTTACTCTGACAGTCACCGCAAGCATGCTCTGGGCGCAATCTCCTTCTCCGGCCTTAGCTCTGGCTGCCCCATCCTACCCTAGAAGCAGCGCTGTCTCCCGGTGAATCTGTGTACTTGCACATTGCCAGACCTGTATTCCTACTAGGCCCTGGCCCAGGACGCCTCTCCCGGCCTGAGATTCCCACGCTTCCCGGGAAGCGCCCCCCAGGCAACCCTGTTAGAGCATTGACAGTAATAATCGTTTGCATTTATACGGGGCCTCCCAGTTCAAAACCACTGCCATCCGTATCTGATGCGTCCCCCAGTCAGGAGCAGTCAGAGCGGCAGGTTGCGTCGAGCGGTCTACCCAGCAACCCCGGCTGTCCCCGCAGTGATGGAGGCGCAGGCGGCCCACGCGAACTCGGCCCGGAACACCCGGCCCTAGAGGGCGCACTGTCCGCCTGCAGGGGCACGCCCAAGACGCCATGCCCTGGGAGAGACTGGTCACCTGGCAGGCCGCCCCGACTTGAGATCAGCGGTCTCCACCACGAGCGTCTTCCTCTTCCCATGGGCTTGGTTGAGCCTTTCAGCGCATGCTCCAAGTCCTCCAGTGTCCCACAATGCCTTGCTACCTCTTTCGCCCTCGGTCCTGGCAGCCACCGCGTAACCACCCAGGAGGGCGATAGCAGCTCCGGAACAAGTTTGTCCCTCTGCGCGATCCGGAACTCCGAGGTCGTTGCTAGGCGCCGACGTTCGCTTCTTTACATCGGATTGGGTCCCACGCAAAGATGAGGCGGGGTCTCGCTGTGGCGCACATGCGTGCAGCAAAGAATGGAGGAGTCCGAACCGGAGCGGAAGGTAGGAGCCAGGGGAGGTTCTGCGCGGGTAGGAGCGGGCGTGAAGAAGGGAGCCGGCTGTATCTGACACTTGTGTGCTTGCAGCGGGCTCGCACCGACGAGGCGACTGCCGGAGGAAGCCGCTCCGAGGCGGAGGATGAGGATGACGAGGACTACGTGCCCTATGTGCCGTTACGGCAGCGCCGGCAGCTGCTGGTGAGGGGCCCGCGTCCGGGGAGGGATGGGGTCGTGATCGTCAAGTCGCAGGGGACGGGTGTGGCCTCGGCCTTGGTGGAGAGGAGGGCTGTCTGAGGAGTGAGCTTCAGTGCACCGAGGCGCGGCCCCCAGGCAAACGAGGGGCCAACGGCCTGATCTGAGGGGTAGGGCACCTCTGCGCCTCGGGCACAGGACCCTCGCCCCAAAGCCAGGATCCTGATGCGGGCCCTATGGACCCGGTGCCCATTCTGTCTGTGGGACCCGGGTGGAACCTTAGCTTCAGAAGCTGCTGCAGCGAAGACGCAAGGGAGCTGCGGAGGAAGAACAGCAGGACAGTGGCAGCGAACCCCGGGGTGATGAGGACGACATCCCGCTGGGCCCTCAGTCCAATGTCAGCCTCCTGGATCAGCACCAGCACCTTAAAGAGAAGGCTGAAGGTGGGCTGAACAGCACTGCCTGGGTGGGAAGGGAGAAGCTGAGCCTAACGCATCGTGTTGGTGTCTGTCTGAAATCTTCCACTTCTTTTCTCAGCCCGCAAAGAGTCTGCCAAGGAGAAGCAGCTGAAGGAAGAAGAGAAGATTCTGGAGAGTGTGGCTGAGGGCCGAGGTATGGTTGTAGCCAGGACAATGAGGAGGTAGACTGAGTCTCCTCCTACCAGCTTCAGGCATGTTATATCTCAGGGGATCTGGCCTCTCAGAAGCAGGAGCCAGCCCTGAGCCTTATCTTTCTCCTCAGCATTGATGTCAGTGAAGGAGATGGCTAAGGGCATCACATATGATGACCCCATCAAAACCAGGTATGTCTGTACAGTCTGCAGTTGCCCTTGCTTAGGATGGTATGTGCAGGAATGCTCCCAGGCCAGCTGTGCCCAGGGCTCTCTTGATCCCTGTTACCCATCCACAGTTGGACTCCGCCCCGTTATGTCCTGAGCATGTCTGAAGAGCGACATGAGCGCGTGCGGAAGAAATACCACATCCTGGTGGAGGGAGACGGTATCCCACCACCCATCAAGAGCTTCAAGGAAATGAAGTTTCCTGCAGGTACTGGGGCTGGAGAGAGACTACACTTTTATAATCAAATACTTGTGAGGTTATGTCCTAGCCTCCACTGAGCTCAGCCACATCTGCATTGGGTCCAGTCACTAGGGCTGGAGGGATATGAGGAGAAGTTTCTTTAGGTTCCCTGTTGCCGCAACTGTACGTGTTCACTGGTCTGTGCTGTTAGAAAGCTTCAGGAGGAAAATGACATTGGGCATAGACACTGGATAGAAATCTTGGCTGCACCTAGCCTGTGGGCCTTGGACAAGTATCTTTTTTTCTTTTTTCCCTCTCTCTGTCTCTCTCTCTCTGAGCCTCAATTTCATCATCTGCAACTTGAAGTGGTAGTGCCAATTTTACAGGCTTTAGGGCTCTGAGAAAGTACCTGTGAGTCACGAGGACGGTGTCGGTTGGTTTTCATAGCTATCCTGAGAGGCCTGAAGAAGAAAGGCATCCACCACCCAACACCCATTCAGATCCAGGGCATCCCTACCATGTGAGTGTGGACTGTGGACCTGGGGTCCTCGAGGAGGGCAGTAACAGGGAGAAGCAGTGGGTAGGTGTCCTTCATCTTCTGTTGAAATTGACCCTTGGGTCATCCTCTCCCAACAGTCTATCTGGCCGTGACATGATAGGCATTGCCTTCACGGGTTCAGGCAAGACACTGGTGTTCACGTTGCCTGTCATCATGTTCTGCCTGGAACAAGAGAAGAGGTTACCTTTCTCAAAGCGTGAGGGACCCTATGGACTCATCATCTGCCCCTCAGTAAGATAGGCTACCCTGGAGGGCAGGGCAGAGACTGGGGCTGCCATCTGGTGCAAGCCTTTGTCTCTCTGCCTATAGCGGGAGCTGGCCCGGCAGACCCATGGCATCCTGGAGTACTACTGCCGCCTGCTGCAGGAGGACAGCTCGCCACTCCTGCGCTGCGCTCTCTGCATCGGGGGCATGTCCGTGAAAGAGCAAATGGAGACCATCCGACAGTGAGTGCTGGTGCTCCCTGCCCGCACCCTCCACCATCTTAGAGTCCATGGAAAAACTAAAGGACCTCTTACCTTAGCTACTCCACAGATCTTCACAGAGGTCTGCTTTAAGTCCGTCCCTTAAGGAGCTCCCAGTCTAATGGGGAGGTCAGTTGGGGTAGAACAGAGGGATATGGCCAGGTACTGTGGGAGCACAGCAGATGGAAAGGCCCACCATGCTGGGACGTCTGGGAGGAGGGAGCTCAGAGAAGGCTTTGCAGGGAAGGTAATATTTGAATTTGGAAGAGGGGCAGTTCAGACTGAAAGTGCAGAGGTGGACAGCCCAGGAAGGTCAGGGTCATTCAGTGGTCAGTCAAGGAGGCTGAGGCACTGGAGTAGGACTGGATCCCAGCTTGCACCTGCGTCCTTTCCATGCTGTGCAGTCCACTGCAGACCGAGGCCTTAGGCCCTCTGTTCACAGATGGTCCAGTCCCCATCCCAGAGGCATTCCTAGTCTTAGGGAGATGGCACAGAAAAGGTACAGCCAATGTACCAGGAAAGTGTGTCCAGAGTAAAGCCTCTGGAGCTTTAGGACAGCCCCTTGGTGGGAGGACTGACCCAGGAGAAGTGGGAAGGGTGTGCCAGGCCTAGCGGTGGCGAAGAAGGCTGTAGTGCCTTGGGAAAGAGTTGTGTGTTATACATAGGACCCCATAAGTGGTAGGAATGACAAGGAGGGGACAGAGAAAGAAATTGGAAGGAGAACAGAGAGCAGAACAAATGCAGGGTGTCTGTGGGAGGTGACAGTCCAGTGGCCCCAACCTCAGGGTCTCTCCTTGGTCCTCAGCGGTGTGCACATGATGGTGGCCACCCCAGGACGCCTCATGGATTTGCTGCAGAAGAAGATGGTCAGTCTAGACATCTGTCGCTACCTGGCCCTGGATGAGGCTGACCGCATGATTGACATGGGCTTTGAGGGCGACATCCGCACCATCTTTTCATACTTCAAGGTGCCTGCCCCCTGCCCAGCCAGGGTACCCACGCATCACCCCACCACCGCACACCACATTGAACTGTGGAGACCCCATGTCCCCGACCACCCCACCCACTGCTCCTACTTCGTGGGCTGTGTCTTAGTTGCTCAGCTTCCCCAGACCCCATGCCCCTCAGCCCAGCGCTGCATGCCCTAGGTCGCAGCCCCCATCATTCCTCAGGGCCAGCGGCAGACCCTGCTCTTCAGTGCCACCATGCCGAAGAAGATTCAGAACTTTGCTAAGAGTGCCCTTGTAAAGCCTGTTACCATCAACGTGGGGCGCGCTGGGGCTGCCAGCCTGGATGTCATCCAGGTGGGCAGACACTCCTGATGGGCAGTCTCTCACTTGTAGGGGCTGGATCTGACAAGGCGCCCTGAAGCTGATTGGAGCCGGGGGTCCACCTTGTGAGGACTGGGGGTTTCATTCAAAGCCCCTGACCCTTAACCAGGGCAATTTTTAGGGCACCCAGCCCTTGGAGGCCAGAGGCTTCTGGCCACCTCCTTATCCAGATGAGGGGCTGTGTGACAGGGCTGTGGCGGGTAAGCCTAATCTAGAGATCACCTGACCTGATCCCTGTGGTGACAGGAGGTGGAATACGTGAAGGAGGAAGCCAAGATGGTGTACTTGCTTGAGTGCCTGCAGAAGACACCCCCACCTGTGAGTGCAGCTGGGCCAGGCTGGGGCCAGAATCCCCCGAACCAGGAAGGGCTTTGGATGGGACAGAGTGCTAGGGGAGGTGAGGTGGGTACCCACGCAGTCAGCCCCTGACTTGAGTTGGTCTTTCTGGACAGGTGCTCATCTTTGCGGAGAAGAAGGCAGATGTGGACGCCATCCATGAGTACCTGCTGCTCAAGGGGGTTGAGGCCGTAGCTATCCATGGGGGCAAAGGTCAGGGTGGTGCAAGCACTGGCATGGACCCTGCTGCTATAGCGGCACTTCACCTAACACCTTCCCCTGCCTGGTCAGCCTGCTACTCCCCTACTCCCATGGTGGCTCTAACAGTGTCTACCTGACCCTCCCCAGACCAAGAGGAACGGACTAAGGCCATCGAGGCATTCCGGGAGGGCAAGAAGGATGTCCTAGTAGCCACAGATGTTGCCTCCAAGGGCCTGGACTTCCCTGCCATCCAGCACGTCATCAACTACGATATGCCAGAGGAGATTGAGAACTATGGTAGGGGCTTGGGACCCAGGGGCACAGGCTAGGCCCGTAGTGTCCAGCAGTTGGCCGGAGACTCTGTCCCTCTCTCCGCAGTACACCGGATTGGCCGCACCGGGCGCTCAGGAAATACGGGCATCGCTACCACCTTCATCAACAAAGCCTGTGGTGAGTCTCACCAGAGCCACTTCAGCTGCTCCCTGGGTCCCCTGCCTGCGGCCACCCAGATTCTGGCTGCAGGGCCCAGGGTGGGGCCTGATGCTTCCCCTCTCCTCCCCAGATGAGTCAGTGCTGATGGACCTCAAAGCCCTGCTGCTGGAAGCCAAGCAGAAGGTGCCACCCGTGCTGCAGGTGCTGCACTGTGGGGATGAGTCTATGCTGGAAATCGGAGGTGACTGCGGGGTGGGAGCCATGAGTCCCCAGCCGGCGGGTGGCAGGGAAGGGTACTGGAAGTCAGAAACACACAAAACAGGTCCATGCTGGCCATTGGTGGACTGAGGGTGCCTATTGGGAGGCCCGAGGTCCAGGGTGTGGATCCCGGCCTGTGACCTTGCTGACCCCTATCCCCATTCCCCCAGGAGAGCGTGGCTGTGCCTTCTGTGGGGGCCTGGGCCATCGGATCACCGACTGCCCCAAACTTGAGGCTATGCAGACCAAGCAGGTCAGCAACATCGGCCGCAAGGACTACCTGGCCCACAGCTCCATGGACTTCTGAGCCAACAGTCTTCCTTCCTCTCCAGGAGGCCTCAGTCCCCAGGACTGCAGCCACTCTGTGCACACACAGCAGCCCCCTGGACAGAACCAGCATCCTCAGCCCAGCTGGCCTGGGCTGGGCCAGGCTAGGCCTGGCTGCCTGTTCCCTGTGCCCCTCAGAATTACTATTTTTGTTCCCTTTCACCCCAGCTGCCATTAAAGCACAAACTTCTATTCCAGCCCTGGCCCTGCGTCTGTGTTTTGCCTTGTCCGCCCCCTGGTTCCTGGGCAGACCTCGCCTCTGACCTCTGAAGCCCCTCTGAGGCAAGGCCCCGGCATCTCCCACTAGCACTGCCAACACCCAGCCTGCTGGTACTTGGCCGTAGAAGGAGTCAATGAGCAGGTTCCCACCTCTGGGAACTCGGGGTCTCTCCATTGGGTTGTCTGCATTTATGACTCAAAGAGGGATTTATGACACATTGGCAGGCCAAGGAGAAACGGTTGGATTCTCTGGTCTCTCTGGCCACCTGTTATAGCCCCCAGCTCACTCTTCCTGTCAGTGGTGTGATGTTTCAGGGGCTTCTCCTGAAGCCCCTTGGGAGGCTGCTGCTTGCTTCAGGCCCCCCACCCACTGCCTGCCTGCTTCAGCCACCCATAGGAAGCCCTCTCCTCCATTGACCAAGGAGGCAGCAGATGTCATAGAACTGTTGTTCAGGCCACAAGCTCCCCCTAAGTGTGCTCTGTGCCCAGCTCTGAGCTGCGAGGACCTAGATGGGCCAGGGAGATGGCTGCCAGGGAAGCTCTCAGGGAGGAAAAAGAAAGACGCACACACAGATACATGGACGGCAGTCACAAGACCACTGGCAGATGAAGCAGCATCTGGCGAGAGGTAGGCAGGGAATGGCACAGGTGGCTGCAGTTCCTTGTGCCAGGCACTTTGCACATATGGCCACATGCTCATTCCACTGGGACAGTGGTTGCTCAAGCCATATTTGTCACTTGGTGTGTGGCCTTGGGCAAGTTACTTAATTTTTCTGAGCGCTGATTTCCTCACTGTTGAAATGGCAATGAGAAAGCAAAGGACGTGGTGTCTGAGGCGGCTGGAGCTCAGGACTGCCTGGGCCACAGTGGGCACAGAGCCAGGTGCCAGGAGACCTTTAGGAAATATTTCCTGGCCAAGTGCAAGCCCAAACAGCATTTCTCAATCTGCTTTGATGTTCTCTCCCAGAGGTGGCACTGAACGACGTGAGGCTGTTCTAGAATAAAGATACAGCCCCGCTACTGGCCTGCTAAGCTAGCCAACAGAAAGAGCCCCCAGCAGGAAGCAAAGCTTTAAATGAACATGTGACCTCTCCGGGCCCCACTGGGACCTGCCACCCACACTCACGTGGTTGGAGCTGTTCAGGGCTGTGGATCCCATGTGGACTGGATGCCCAGTGTGACATATACTGAGGGCCTTTGTGCTCTCGGCTTGGAGTGGTCAGGGAAGGCCTCCAGGAGGAAGAGACAGCCCACTGCCCCGAGCAGCATGGCGGTGAGGGGCCCTGGAGGGGCTGGTCTGGGGAAATGAGACTGAGGGAAATGGAGGCCATAACATACAGGCCCCTGACTGTTGGGCTAAGGAGCCCAGGCTGCACCCCAGGAAGGGGAGACAGGGTTGGTCTTGAGTTGTAGTGAGTGCTGCAGGGGACAGTGGCCCCTGGGTGAGATGCCGAGGCTGGGATGGGCAGTGGCTTGTGGGGTGGAGAATAGCAGGTGAACATGAGAGATTTCAGGGAGAAAGAAGAGGTGAGGCCCTCAAGCCAGGACACTGAGTGGGAAATCCAGGAGTTGGCTAGAGAAGGCAGGGCCAGGGAGTGTCAGGCCCAGGGTGCGTAGCTGCCCAGGGCGGGATGGGGGAGGGGTGGGAGCTCATGACTCTGGAGCCAGCCTGCGGTCAGACGCTCATGCCCAGCTGACCCAGGTGCAGGTGCGGGCCATTTGCCTTCAGGTGGCCAGGGGCTCCTTCTGGGCAAGCGTGGGCTCCTTGGGCAGCCAGAACCCCAGGAAGGAAATATGTGCAGCCCTCAGCCCCTGAGCTAAAGACAGGAGTTTTCACTGAAGAGAGGCTCCCCTCCCCCCAGCCTGCAGCTGCCTCTGGACGGAGGGACGGGAAGTGGCCAGAAGGGGAAGTGTGAGGAGTTCCCGTCCAGCCTGTCATCAGTCTCCCCAGGTCTTGAAGCAGCAGCCCTGCCCGTGGCTGTGGCCATGGAGCCCCTGGAGACCCCCGTCAAGGACGGCATCCTCTACCAGCAGCATGTCAAGTTTGGCAAGGTGGGGACCCCTGGCTGCCAGGCGGCTGCCAGGCAGCTGCCAAGGACCAATAGGGGGCGCAGAACCCTCTCCCAGGTTGGACAGCCCAGGCAGACATGGGAGACTTGGGGAGGGAGTCAGGGTGGAGGATCCCACCCAGGTATGGGGAGTGGAACAGAGCCTGGGTCTCGGCCTGAGACAGCGGGGGCTGAGCATACCCCGCCTTCGAGAGAGACGGGAAATACGGGAGCGGGAGAGGGTCGAAGGCTCAAACCTCCAAGCAGGGAAAAGCCTCACGGTCTCTGACCCATAGAATACTGGCACCGAGGGCCCTAGGGAGGGCGAGGGGCTGAGCTGCAGGAGGCCCCAAGGGTAGAGCCCCTCCCTGCAGCAGCACTGTCCTGGGAGCAAGGAGGCAGGGAGGTCACCTCTCCTCGGCAGCAGCCCCACACCCCCACAGCTCAGCTGCAGCTGCTGCCCAGGCAGATAAACTGTTGGTTTCCTTTGCCTGAAGCTATTTGCATGTTTCCTTCCTTACCAGTGTGAGGTGGAGGCCTCCCTCCCACCCCAGCCCTTGGCCTGTGACCCAAGTGCCCCTTTTTTGGAGGTGAGAGAGAACCAACATAATGGCAGTGTCTAGCGGTCGGCCCAGCCACTGGATGCTTTACAGACATGACCCAGTAGCACCCCCAACTCGTGTTCTCATGGCCTTTTGAGAGACAACACTGATGCTCGTGGAGGTCACAGTTAGGAAAGAGCAGGCTGGGATTTGAACCAATCCTGGGGCTAACCAATCCCAAGTACAGCCAAGGCCTCCTTCCCTAGAGCTCTGAGAAACTGGGGAGCAGAGGACCACTCCTGGCTGGGAGCGTTTGCTAAGCAGCTTGTGCTGAGCCAAGTGGCACAGAGAATCTGCCACCCAAGGGTCTCCTCCCTCCCCCTCCTCTCCCGCAGAAGTGCTGGCGGAAGGTGTGGGCTCTGCTGTATGCAGGAGGTCCATCAGGCGTGGCACGGCTGGAGAGCTGGGAGGTCCGGGATGGTGGCCTGGGAGCAGCGGGTGACAGGTCGGCGGGGCCTGGCCGGCGAGGGGAGCGACGGGTCATCCGCCTGGCTGACTGTGTGTCCGTGCTGCCGGCCGACGGCGAGAGCTGCCCCCGGGACACTGGTGCCTTCCTGCTCACCACCACCGAGCGAAGCCACCTACTAGCTGCACAGCACCGCCAGGCCTGGATGGGCCCCATCTGCCAGCTGGCCTTCCCGGTGAGTGCAGCGGGCATGTGGGGTGGTTGGGCTGGGGCACCTGCCCCCTACTTGTTCACCTCCATGTTCAGTCACATCCCGACACCCAACAAGCTCCACCAAGCACCTATAAGCCTGGGAAAAGTAAATCTGTAACAACTCTTGGAGGGCCATGTGTGCCATGGAGAAAATGGACTGCCAGGGAAGCAGGAGGAAGTGAGGGAGTGACAGGCAGGATGGCCAGGGAAGGCCTCTCATAGGAGGGCCCTGAATGCCAGGAGCCCGCTGGGCAAAGGTCTGAGGACAGGGGCTGCCTGGGAAGCCGCAAACAGAGGGAGAGCATGGGCAGAGGCCCTGAGGCTGGACAGTGTGGAGTGTTCAAGGGCAGAAAAAAGGTGACGTGGTTGGAAGGGAAGGGGCTGGAAGGAGTGCAGGAGGAGCCCAAGTTGGGGAGCTTGGGGGAGTGGCTGAAATGCCCTGGGCCATGTGCGTGGTTTTGTTCTGAGTGAGAAGAGAAGCCTTTGGAGGGTTTAAGCCACACTCACGTGTAAAGCCCCACAAAGTCTGTGATGGGTCAAATGGAAGTGAGCCTGGCGGTTCCTCAGAGTTAAACAGTTACCATGTGACCCACAGGTCTACTCCTAGGTGTGTGCCCAGGAGAACTGGAACAGGTGTTCAAACAAAACGTGTACATGTGAGGCAAGAGGATCACGTGAGCCCCCGAGGCTGAGGCTGCAGTGAGCCATAATGATGGAGACAAAAAAATCCACATGTACATGAATGTCCATAGCAGCACTACTCACGGCCACCAGATGGTGGAAACAGCCTCATGGCCAACAGCTGACAAATGCATAAACAAAATGTGGTCTGTCCACAAGATGGAATATTACTCAGCCATAAAGACGAACAAATGCCAGGCACAGTGGCTCACGCCTGTAATCCTGGCACTTTGGGAGGCAAAGGTGGGAGGATTGCTTCAGCCTAGGAATTCAAGATCAGCCTGGGCAACATAGTGAAACACTGCCTCTTAAAAAAAAAAAAAGAAAAGAAAAGAAAGGCTGGGCGCAGTGGCTCACGCCTGTAATCTCAACACTTTGAGAGGCTGAGGTGGGCAGATCACAAGGTCAGGAGTTTGAGACCAGCTTGGCCAACATAGTAAAACCCCGTCTCTACTAAAATACAAAAATCAGCTGGGCATCGTGGCAGGTGCCTCCAATCCTAGCTGCTCAGGAGACTGAGGCAGGAGAATCACTTGAACCCAGGAGACGGAGGTTGACTGCACTCCAGCCTGGGCAACAGAGCAAGACTCTGTCTCAAAAAAGAAAGAAAGAAAGCAGTGTGCAGACTAGGTAACTCCATAGGGATAGAAATCAGAGAAGTGTTGCCAGGGCCTGGGGGAAAGGAGAGGTGGGGCATGAGTGCTCATGGGTACAGGGTTTCCATGTGGGGTGATGTGGTAAGATCTGGAACTAGACAGTGGCAATAGCTGCACAACCTTGTGAATACACTAAAAAGCACTAGGGTTACACTTTTAAGATGTAAGATGGTTAAAACAGTAAATTTTATGTTCTCTGTATTTTATCATATTTTAAAAATCAAAAAAAGGCAGTTGAGGTTGGGCACGGTGGCTCACGCCTGTAATCCAAGCACTTTGGGAGGCCGAGGCAGGTGGATCACCTGAGGCTAGGAGTTCGAGACCAGCCTGGCCAATATGGGAAAACCCTGTCTGTACTAAAAATACAAAAAAGTAGCCAGGTATGGTGGCAGGCACCTGTAATCCCAGCTACTTGGGAGACTGAGGCAGGAGAATCATTTAAGCCTGGGAGGCAGGGGTTGCAGTGAGCCAAGATCGTGCCACTGCACTCGAGTATGGACAGCAGACTGAGACTCAATCTCAAAAAAAAAAATAGGCAGTTGACAGGAACAAGGAGCCAGGTGAGGAAGCTGTGGCATTTGACCTGGCCATGCTGCTCGGGGCCAGGGTGGTCCTGGTAGAGGAGCTGAGTGGGAAAGAGCCCCAAGGACATGCTGAAGGCCTGGGTGTGGGGATGAGGCTTAGGCAGAGGTTGGGGGCACCTCGAAGGGTCACAGCAGGTGGCTGTGGTGAGAAGAAGGAAGACACCTGGGGCACTGCACCCTGCCCAGCTCACACGTGTGTCTCAGCCTGAAGGCTCCTGTCCCTGCACTGCTGTAGGCTGTCAGAGATATACAGGAGCCGGCCTAGGCGCCAGCCAAGCCCAGGGGCTGTAAGGGACATCCCCTTGTGTGGCCCGTGATCTGCAGCTCTCAGACACCCTCAAGCACAGCAGCTCTTTCCCAGCCCAGCACTCTCAGTGGGGAGCCAGGTGGGGGAACAGGCTCAGAAGGGGACCTTAGCTTTTGCAACAAGCCCAGCAGAGCGGGAACTGGAACCCAGGTCCCTGGATGCCCTGGCTTGTGGTAGAGTCCTGGGGTACTGACCCCAAGGGAGGGGACAGGGCATGAGAGTGGGGTGCTCTCACCTCTGACTTGAACTCATTCCCCAGAGCACAGGGGAGGCCTCCTCAGGATCCACAGATGTCCTGTCTCCCAAGAGGGGCCTGGTCCCCATGGAGGAAAACTCCATTTACTCTTCCTGGCAGGAAGGTAAGTCAGGGGAGGTACAAAGGCAGCTTCAGCCCCCCTACACCCAGGGCTGGGTCTTTGGGGGACTGACGGGGCTGTCCCGGCCATTTGCCGCAGTGGGCAAGTTTTCCGTGGTGGTGCAGAGGACTGAGGCTGCTGCCCGCTGCCAGCTGAAGGGGCCAGCCCTGCTGGTGCTGGGCCCAGATGCCATCCAGCTGAGGGAGGCCAAGGGCGCCCAGGCCCTCTATAGCTGGCCCTACCACTTCCTGCGCAAGTTCGGCTGTGACAAGGTGAGGTGCAAGGGTGAGAAGGGAAGGGGGCTGACACCCTGGACCCTTCTGCTAATCCCCATCCATGTTGCCTGTGCCCAGGGCGTGTTCTCCTTTGAGGCCGGCCGTCGCTGCGACTCGGGTGAGGGCCTCTTCGCCTTCAGCAGCCCCTGTGCCCTTGACCTGTGCGGGGCCGTGGCTGGGGCCATTGCCCGCCAGCGGGAGCGGCTGCCAGAGCTGGCCAGGTCCCGGCCCTGCCCCTTGCCACGGGCCACCTCTCTGCCCTCACTGGATGCCCCTGGAGAGCTGCAGGAGATGCCACCAGGGCCCGAGCCACCCACCTCCAGGAGGGTGCGCCTGGCCGAGCCTGGGCCGCAGAGCCTGCCACTACTGCTAGGCCCAGAGCCCAACGATCCGGTGTCCGGGCTCTATGCCTCGGTGTGCAAGCGTGCCAGTGGGTCCCCAGGCACCGAGCACCTCTACGAGAACCTGTGTGTGTTGGAGACCAGTCCCACGCTGCATGGCGGGGGACCTGAGACCCACGAGGGCCCAGGCGGCCGCAGCCCCACGGCCAGCCGCAGCCCAACAGCCAGCCCCATCTACCACAATGGTGAGGACTTGAGCTGGCCTGGCCCCGCCCACGACAGCACCCTGGAGGCCCAGTACCGGCGGCTGCTAGAGCTGGAGCTGGATGAGGCGGGGAGCACAGGCAGCCCTGGTTCTCAGGCAGGCTTCAAGGCCAAGTTGGTGACACTGCTGAGTCGCGAGCGGAGGAAGGGCCCTGCCCCCTGTGACCGGCCCTGAACACCCAGCAGAGTGGTGGCCAGAGGGGAGAGGTGCTCCCCCTGGGACAGGAGGATGGGCTATGGGCAAACAGGGGGCCCCTGCAGACACACGCCTGTGTCCACCCTGGCCTGCACGGACAAGGCAGACCACATGTGGAGGACCTCAGCCCTGCCCTGCCCTGCGCATGTATGGTGTGCGGACTTGCAGACAATAAAGCTCAGAGCAGCTCCCGGTAGGGGCACTCACAGCACACACCCCCATTGGCCATCACTGCAGTCAACACCAGCACCCTGGGCTGATTCCAGGGACACAGATGACCTGGCCTGACCTGCCACCCATGGGCTCAAATCCACTGCAGCAGATGGACAAGATGCAGATCGTTAGGGCTCCACGTAGCCCTGCACATCCAGAGTCGCACAAAGAGGCAGGCGGAGGGAGAGAATCATGAGGCTTGCTTGTCAGACTCAGGAATGAGCAACGTGAGGGCCCAACTGGAGACCCGGAGGCTGGAGCTGGGGAGGAGCCAATGGGGGCGGGGAGCAGGTGGAAAGGATTTCAGAGACACGCTCGCCCAAAACGCTTGTTCCCTGATGAAACTTCAACCATTTGCAGATACTTCTGGGAACCCCAGGCCTCAGTCTCCTCATCTGTAATGGAGAGAGAACAAATGACTTACTAGGCATATTCCTTGATGAGAGTTTTGCTGCGTGCCTACTCAGTGCCAGGCACTGGGGGACACGGCCGTGTTCAGGACAGCTTCAGTCCTGTTCTCCAGGAGCCAACATTCCAGGTGGAGAGAAGTTTCCTGAAGACTGAATGCTGCGTTCCCTTCTCTGCTCCTGTTGCCATCCTAGGAGCCAGCCACGCTCACAAGCACCGTGCCTCCAGGGGTCTGGCTGCTTGGCCCTCACCACAACTCCACCTCAGCTGCCCACACCCTTGGCACATCCTGGACCGCATCTTCATGACGGACACACCGTTTTTGCTCTCTCCTGTCCAAGCCTCATCCTCCGGCCACCTCCTCCTTCCAGCTCACTTCCTCTAGCACGGCCAATACCACCCCTGCCCAGCATGTCGACCTGCAGGGACCCTTTTCTGGCTCTTTGAAGCCTCTGCCCACTGTCCCCTCTTTGTTCCACATAGCTTCTGTGTCCACCATGGAGTCCCTTCCCCTCTCCCTCTCTCCTTTCATCCTATTGGTCTGGCAAAGCCATGGTCTTTGGGTGAACCCAGACCTCCTCTGTGCCTGCACACAGCTGCCCACAGCCAGAGAAATCCATTTAAGCTGGCTGCCTGCATCCTCCTTAACAATGCAAGGCAGGTGTTCCCTACCACCGATACTCTGTTCCCTAGAGGGGCAGCTTTTCTCCTCCCCAGAACCTCCTCTCTGTCTCCACCCAGTGTCTCCTCACAGGCATATTGGGGAAACAGGTCAGTCTCCCCCAGCGTGTCTGCAAGTGTTCCAGCATCCATCCGTCTTCTCCTTCCTGCCTCTACAGTAGAAGAAATGTCTGTCTCCAGCATATGCTCTGATCCCAGCTCCTCTCACCTCAGAGTTTGGAAAACTGAGCTGTCCCCACTGTCTCCTGGACCCATTCAACCTAGCAGCAGCAGCTCTTCCAGCCACACACGAACATGCTCTGTAATTTCCCATCTTAAACCTTCCTTTGACCTCACATTCCCCTTCAGCCACCCCCCGTTTCTCTGTTCCTCTTCACAGCAAAAACTCTTCAAAAGAGTTGATTACTTTCATTTCCACTTTCTCACCCACATTCTCCCCTTAATTAACTCTCCTTCATCCCCATGATGCTATTATGCGGCTCTTATCTGAGTCACCAACTTTATTCTCCAAAAGCAACAAGGCCTTCGACTTCTCAGCAGCATTCAACTCTGGTTCTGGAAACACCCCCATTGCCTGGTTTTCCTCCTACCTCACAGTTCTTTCCTTCCCAGCCTCTACTGCCATCTTTTTTGAGTTCTTCCCAGGGCTCTAGGCTCAATACAGTGTAGCTCAACCCCGGATACATAAAGAATCCCCTGGAAGCCCTTAAAAATGTCCATGCATGTCCTGTGAGTGACCTACCAAGAGAATAAAAGATTTAAAAAATCAAATGCCCATGTCTAGGCCCACATGCAGAGGCTTTGATTTCATCAGTCTGGGTAAGTGGGCATGAATGTTCGTTAGATTTCCAGATGACCGTAGTACGCAGCCCAGGTTGGGAACCATTGGTCTCAGCAAGCCAGTCAGTCTCCAGGTGTCAGAGACCCTCTAGATGGTGGACTCCGAAGGTCTATCTTCAGTGCAGACCTCCCTCTGAGCTCCAGATTTAGGAATCCCACTGCACATGAGACATCTGGATGTGGAAAAGGCATCTCCAGATCCCATGTGTGAAAGGGGGTTGAGGGAATGGAGATTCTGATGCCTTCCAGGGTGTGTGTGGACACGGGCAAAGCCTGGAAGGATGCTAGAGCCATGGGGAGGAAGATTTCAGCTCACTCAGACAAGCACTTCCTGATGGGTAAAGTCTTACAGCAAGCTGAGGCCAAGAGGCTGGCAGCTGGGGTGCTGCAGCAGGCCCCCCTCCTTCCTACAGTGGCAAGCCCAAGCCCAGCCTGGGCAGCTCAACAAATCCCAGGACACACCGAAGGTCACCCAGAATCAAGGGCATGGCCAGAAATGGAGCCCGGGACTCTGGGTCCCCCGCATGGCATCCTTTCCTTTATTGCAAATCTGAACTTCTTTGTTTCATAGGGATTTCTGTGATACTCCAACCAGACTGTGGGAAAGAAAGACCTTGGAAAACACCAGGATTCTAGGGGCCTGGGCCTGGAGCTGCAGGTGTCTCAGCCACCAGGGGGCGCTGTCTCCCAGTCCAGGTCCTGTTGCTACCCAGGGGCTGCCTGTGCTGGGAGGCTCCCAGGGCCCCATACAGACCAGACCCTTGCACCAGTCCAAGGAATGGGAGCCCAGGGTCCTCTCTGCTGGGGGACTGTCAGGACTCCCAGGCTGCTGCCTCTTCCTTTGCTCATTTGCTGTTTCACTTTGTCAGTACTTCCTTTCTTTGTGTGTTCATTCACATCCACTGTGTGCATGCCCCAGGGAAATGCTGGACAAGACACACAAGCTGTGTCTTCATTGTCCTAACAAAGAACACACCCTGGAAAGAGCACCACATAGTGTCCCCACTCCTCCAGTCTCCCTCCACACATGGAATCTGGAGATGCCTTTTCCACTTCCAGATGTCTCGGGTGCTGTGGGATTCCTAAATAAACATTTAATACAGAATGTCAGATGGTGGAGAGTGCTATGGGGAAAAATAAAGCAGGGAGAGGGCCTAGTGTGTGCAGATGAGGCATCAGGGAAGGCCCTTGGAGAAGGTAACATGTGAGCAGAGAGAGACCTAAATAAAGTCAGAAGCCTGTTGCTGAGATGCCTGGGGAAAAGTGTTTCAAGGGCCAGGCACGGTGGCTCACGCCTGTAATCCCAGCACTTTGGGAGGCTGAGGCAGGTGGATCACCCAAGGTCAGGAGTTCAAGACCATCCTGGCCAACATGATGAAACCCCGTCTCTACTAAAAATACAAAATTAGTCAGGCATGGTGGTGCATGCCTGTAATCCTAGCTACTTGGGAGGCTGAGGCAGGAGAATCGCTTGAGCCCGGGAGGTGGAGGTTGCAGTGAGCTGAGCTTGCACCACTGCACTCCAGCCTTGGTGACAAAGCGAGACTCTGTCTCAAAAAAAAAGGAAAAGTGTTTCAACCAGAGGAACTGGAAAGTGGAGAGGCCCTGAGGCAGGAATATGTTTGGCTTCCTGGAGAAACTGTGAGTGAGGAGGTCAGGGTGGCTGGAGTGGAGGGAGCAAGTGGTAAGAGTCAGACCCAGTTTATTCATGTTCTGTAGGTCTTAAGGACTTTAGTTTCGAGTGCAATATGAGCCCAATGCTAAAAGCTGAGAGTGACATGGTGTGATTTTAGCTTTAAAAATATCACTTTGGCTGCTCCATGAAGACTCTGGAGAGGGCAAGGGTGAAAGCAGGGATGCCCGTTAGGAAACCGTCACAGGGGTACAGACACAAGATGGCAGTGGCTGGGACAATGGTGGCAGCAGTTGTTATGAAATATGTTGAAGGTGGAATTTGTAGAATCTAGGGGAGGACAGAGAGAAGCGAAAGGAAGGATAACTTCGTTTCTGCTGAACCAGTTGGATGAATGTTGGTGGCACTTCTTGAAGTGAGGAAGGAGTTAGGGAGGTGGGAAAGGCGCAAATTTGAATTGGGCCATGATGGTCTGAGATAACTAGTACAGTGGTTCCCCAACGTTTTTGGCTAGAGGGACTGGTTTCATGGAAGATAATTTTTCCACGGACTGGGGGTGGGGTGGGCATGATTTCAGAAGGTTCAAGCGCATGACATTTATCATTAGAGTCTTTTTTTGGAGACAGAGTCTCACTCTGTTGCCCAGGCTGGAGTGCAGTGGTGCCATGTTGGCTCACTACAACCTCTGCCTCCCAGGTTCAAGCTATTCTCTGGCCTCAGCCTCCCAAGTAGCTGAGACTACAGGCATGCACCACCATGCCCAGCTAATTTTTGTATTTTTAGTAGAGACAGAGTTTCACCATGTTGGCCAGGCTGGTCTCAAACTCCTGACCTCAAGTGATCCACCCACCTCAGCCTCCCAAAGTGCTGGGATTACAGGCGTGAGCCACCGCACCTGACCCGTTATCATTAGATTCTCATAAAAAACGAGAAATCTAGATCTCTCGCATGCACAGTTCACAGTAGGGTTCATGCTCCTATGGCAATCTAATGCTGCCCCTAAACTCAGCTTCTCTGGCTTGCCGCTGCTCACCTTCTGCTGATCTAGTAAACATCTAGGCAGGCTTTTGGATAGAGTCTGGAGTTCTTGGGGAGAGGTCAGGCTGGCCATGAAACGTGGAATGCCTCGGCATATAGATGGTATTGAAAGCCACAGGACTGCATGGGGTCTTAGGGGGTGAGGATAAAGAGAGGCTCTACATCAGACGGCCAAGGCCAGAGGCAGAGGAGGAGACCCCGGAGGAGGATGGGAAGAAGAGACCAGTGGGGCAGGGAAAAGCTGTGAAGCCAGGGAAAAAGGGTGTTTCCAGGAATAGGATCAACCTGGACCAGTGCTGCCCCTAGGCAGGATGAAACTGAACGACCATGGATTCCATGGCCCGATTGCCTCCAGGCCACTGGGGACCTTGAGAGACCTCAGGCGACTGGTGCGCACAAAAGCCTGACTGGCATGGCTTCAAGAGATAACCGAAGGAAAGCAAGTGGAGACGGGATAAACAGACAACTCCCTGGAAGAATTTTACTCTCAAGAGAATTAAAGGGTAATAGCTGGAGAGGGATCTGGGGTCAAGAGAAGGTCTTTAACGATGAGAACTCTCACAGCAGTTTGTGCAGAAGAGGGCGGGTGTGATGACAGTGGATGGAGAGGGGAGAACGGCAGCGACCATGTCCTAGGAGGCGCCGACGGGCCGGGACCACCAAGCTAGTGGAGGGGGACGCCCCTTCCCCTCACCCTGAAACCCACTTGCACTCAGTGTCCGCGCCGCCGGCCATAATGCCCGGCTGATCGCGGGGCCGGGACTCTAAGGACGCCCTCCCCGAGGCGCAGCCCGTTCTGGCCGGGCTGGAGGGGGACGCGGCGCTTCCGACGGGGCGGTGGCCGGGTCGGGGTTGCAGGGCTGCGAGCGAGGGCAGGGCCCGCAGGCCAGGGGCCACTGGCGTCCCCTCCTGCCCTGTTTTCCTGCCTTCGGTACAGCGTTGCGCAAATCTGGCTTTAAACGCCCCTGTCGGCCTCAACTTTCCCACCTCGACTTATCTCCTCCAGCCCCTGATTTAGAAATTCTGAGCCCCCGACGGTTGTGCCTGGGATACCGACCTTCGCGGCGGCCCTGCGAAGCCAGTATGATCGCCCCATTTTTCTGAGTAGGAAACGAAAGTTTAGAGACTACAAGGTACCAGCTCCGTCCGGTTGGAAGGGCCGCTTTCCTCTCCCTCCGCCAGCGGGTGGTGCGAGAGACTGGGCGAGGCAGCGCCTCCCTAATGAGGCGACCCGCAACCCCGCCCCTCCCGCCCCGGCTCCGCCCCGGCTCCGCCCCGGCTCCGCCCGGCCCGCCGTGGCTCCGCCCCACTGCCCGGACCTGGTCGGCGAGGCCTCCCAGCCCGAAGCCCGAGGGGACTTCGTGATTGGGCGGGGTTGAAGAGCTGGGTGGGGCTTTCCACCAGAGGGAGCGGCTAGTAGGCGTGGCCATTCGAGGGCGTGGTCTGCTGCCCCGCCCCCTCCCGCGCGCTCAAAGCGGAGGGCGGCTGCGGGGGCGGGGTCAGAACACTGGTGGCGGATCCCAACGCGGCTCCCTGGAGTCCGACACGGAGCAGCACCCCGGCGGTGCCGAGCAGGTATCGACGACCGCGCGGGACGTCTTGGGCTGGACCAGGCGGGCGCCCGGGGCCTGCTGAGGACAAGGGGCTCTGGGGGTCGTGATCCAGGCTGTGCTTCCTCCCGCGGGCTCTAGCCCCTGCCTCCGCCCCCGCCCCCGCCTTCCTGCAGCGAAGCCGGCTGCGGCGGAGCCGATTGGCGCCTGCGCTGCTTCCTGCGGCCGGGGCCAGTCCAATGCATGGGGCCTGGGCGGGGGACTAGGGGGAAACTGAGTCACTTCGGTGTGGGAGCACTTCTGTGTGGGAGGCACCACCCCTGCTGGGCTCCGGGAAGGATCCCCCTCCAAGCTATGGTTTAGGGTCCTGGCCCCAACCTGTCTCCACAGGGGCCACACCCCACTCCCGCCTTCCCCCTTTCTTCAGCACCCAGGGGTCCCGCCCTGGCTCCCAGCAGCCTCCACTGGTCCCGGAATGGCTAGGATCCGCTGCAGCCGCCTCCCTCCCCTCCCCCTCGCGTCCCAAGCCCCCGTGTGCTCCCTCCGCTGGCTCTCCGCACAGTGTCAGCTTACACGCCTTATATAGTCCGAGCAGGCTCCAGCCGCGGCCTGCCTGCCGGGACCTGGGGGCGGGGGAGAGGAGAGCCGGCCCCTGACTCACCCGGCCACCCGAGGCTCCAGGCTGGCTGCCTTGCGGGGAGGCCGCACCAGTTTAGTCCCTTGGCCCACCCCTGGTTGAAAAGAACCTTGAGCCTGTATTTAGGCACCCCTCACCGTTCCAGTCCCTAGAGGACAGAGGCTGCTCCTCTTTCCAAATTGAGGTACGCCAGCCAGCAGCACAGCCCAGCCCAGCCGGACAAAATACCTGCCTACTATACCGTGGGTGTGCTCAGCCGCTGCCCGTGCCTGCCTGGCCCCTGTCCAAGGCTGGTATCCTGAGCTGGGCCGGCCTGCCTGCGCGCCCACCTTGCTGGTAACACCTTCTCTTCTTTCAGAAGCCGGCATCATGGATTCCTTCAAGGTAGTGCTGGAGGGGCCAGCACCTTGGGGCTTCCGGCTGCAAGGGGGCAAGGACTTCAATGTGCCCCTCTCCATTTCCCGGGTGAGCCTAGGTTTGGGGAGGGGCTCCCGAAGCAGTCTTTGGGTGCTCAGGTCTCCAGAGGGCGATGGGGGAGTCCTAACAGGAGATAGTTAGGGGCCAGCAGGCCAGGAGATGTCCAGGTCCAGAGATGTGGTGGTACCTGCCGGCCACAAGGACTCCCAATGAGGTGGACACTGGGAGAGAAGCACTGAAGCTTCCCCAGGCCTGCTCTGTACCTGATGCTGTTCTCCCAAGCTCCTGTGGCCACCTCGGAGGGCTGGAGGGGGGCTCACTGTGCAGGATGGGAGCCTGACATTTCCAGGAGGTGTCTAAACTTGAGGAGGGGAGCCAGGCCACAGGCAGGGCACTCTGACTATAGGATTTCACTTCAAACTCACTGCCACCCAGGGAATAGCAGTCCTCATCCTGTTTTTCTAGATGAGAGGAGGAAATCATGGAGAGGTGGAGGGGCTCAATCATTGAGTCCATGGTGAAGCAGGGATTGGAACTGAGGCACAGGATGGGGTGCATTTTTTTGTGGATAAGAGAAGGGGGTCTCTCCCCAGCCTATGTAAGGACCTGCATCCACTGTTCTCATTCAGGATGTGGTGGCCTTTGACCCCAAGCAGAAGTGTAGGACAGAGCTCAGCTCTAGGGGCTTAACTTTGGTTCCCAAGAGCCTGCCGTGGTGGGGGTGGAGCTGGAAGCTGGCTCCTCCCTGTAGCAGGGGGATTGCCTTATAAGCCCAAGAATGCAGCCCCATGCTGGGATGACCAACAGTGGCTACAATCTGCAGAGCTGAAAAGGGCTGGCCTAGGCCTGGCCCCCTAAACCCCACCGGTGGGCCCCTCAGCAGGGCAAGAGGCTGCAGCTCCAGCTGTATGGTCCAGTAGTGAGACACAGCAAATTGCTTGCCCAGACTGGGTGAGGCCAGCCCATGGGCTGGGGGTCAGGTGGGGGTGGGGATTTCCTGCCCCTATATCCGCCTGCCCAGAGAGACCCACCCAGGCACCTGGTGGGCAGGCAGCTAATGGCAGGAAGCCCAGGGTAAGCCCAGCCTGGAGTGGGCCAGAGGGTTGTCCAGGTGCTGCCTGGCCTTTGGAGGGGCTCAAGGTGGAGTCTGTCTGTAGGAGTTGGGCATGGGGGTCAGGGTAGGTAGGCAGGCTGGCAGTGCCCTTCCCAGGGGTCCTTTCATGGGGTTCTGAAACCTGCTCCACCAGCAGGGTAGTGAGGACAGTGGTCGCCCTACCACACACACACCCCTCCACAGTCCTCACACAGCCTTGAAAACCTCCCTATGTTCCACTCCCTGGGAAAGTGCTGGCCCGTGTGTCTGGGGAGCCTGAGCCTCAGTTTCTTTCCTGATGGAGATGACTTTCAGATCTGGCCTGCTGGGGGCACTCTGGGCTAGGTCCCTTGTCAGCAACCTGGGCATGTGGGCTGGGCCACCAGCTGAGCCCAGGCCTGGAGTTGGACCTGGGCCCACACGGGTGGGTAAGGTGGGCTTTTCTGAGTTGGGCCGGCTCCCTCCCTGACCCCAGAATGGAGGGAAGCGGGAGGGGTGGGGGCTGGCTGTGGGCCCAGGCTTGGGAGATGAGGTAACGTCTGGGTCTGGGGGGTTGGGCTGCTCAGCCTGACTCACCCCCACCCCATGCAGGGTCCAGCCCCCTGGCTTTTTCCCTCCTTGGTTCGTCTGGCCTCACCCTGCCCCTGGCCTGAGCCCCTCCCTGCCTCTCTCCAGCTGTCCACCCATCGCTGCCTTCTCCCCTGCTGCTCTCCCCACACTCTGACCACTCCCCTCGCCCTCTGCTTCCTGCCGTCCTCTGGGAAGGGAAGCCATCCCCATCCTCCACCCTCTCTCTGGGAGCCAGCTGCTCCTGTGCACCCCAAGACTCCCACCTCAGACTCAGCCCACACCTCCCAGGAGCCAGCCCTTGTAGGCAGGGAGTGGCTGGGCCAGGTTTCCCTTGTATTGACTCACCATGACCTTGAGTAAGTCACTTCCCCTCTGGGGTGTCACTTCCCCACGCACAGTATAAAGGGTTGATTTAGTTGGCTTGAACTAAAGGTGAGGGAGGGGCTCATGGTGTCTCCAGGTGGGCTGACCCCTCAGTTGGGCCCCCACGCTCAGCAGAGGTGGCCTACAGTGGTGGAGTCTTAGGGTCAGGGTCACTTCCTGGCCCTGCCTCTTGCTGGGTAACTTGAGTCAAGTTGTTTAACCTCTCTGTGTACACTTTCAAGTGCAAAATCGGTAAAATCCCAGATTACTCCACAGGATTGTTGGAAGATGCAGTGTCAATATGTAGCATACTTGGTGCTCAATAAACTGAAAAAGGTATTCTTATTTAGCGAGTGAGGAAGGGGCCACCAAGCTCTCTTAGCTTCCCTGAAGTCATTCCTGATGGTCTCAGTTCATGCTGGTGGCAGCCATTTCTCCCAGCCTACTGTCACCCCTCGTTGCCACTGGAACCAGGGACTCCCAGCTCAGAGCCCGAAGGATTGGAGTCAGGGGAGTTGGCAGTTGAAGGCTTGGGAGTGACACTCATATATGGCCTATGAAGCCCCAGCTGTCACCTTAGGCCCCATTCAGGCAGTGATCATAGGGAACCTGGAGATAACAGGGCCTGTTCCTGGCTCTCAAAGGGTCCCAGTGGACCCCTGCAGATGGCCCCCAGACAGGGTGCTGAGGGGTAAGAGATCCATAAGAGCCCCCAGCGGTGGCAGGGAAGAAGTTGTCCCTTGCATGGGCCAGAGGGCATATCTGGTAGTGGAGCAGCCTGGGCAGGTGGCCAGCAGGTGCCTCAAAAGGCAGGTGGTCCTCCTGAAACACCTGGGCTATAGCCTGGGCATGGCTGTTTGTGGATATCATAGAATTTCTGGACTGTGGGGTAGAGTCGTTGTGCAGAGTAAATGAATCAGCAGTGTGACAGGAAATTGTGAAGCTCAGGTGAGCGCCACCACCTCCTGGGTTGCTTTAGCGTCCAGCAGCTGCCTAGAACCGTACTGAATGAAGAGCTCTCTGGGCTCTAGAAGTGGGGCAGCTTCAGGTGGAGCAGTGTTACCACCTGGCTTGGGTCTGCAGGGTCTAAGGGCCTCAGTCACTTTGCTTTTCTCCATAGCTCACTCCTGGAGGCAAAGCGGCACAGGCTGGAGTGGCTGTTGGTGATTGGGTGCTGAGCATCGATGGCGAGAATGCAGGGAGCCTCACACACATCGAAGCTCAGAACAAGATCCGGGCCTGTGGGGAGCGCCTCAGCCTGGGCCTCAGCAGGTATGCCCATGGGTGTGGAGGGGTGCACGGGCGCTGGCAATGGGGATCCCCGTGGGTCCATGCTGTCACACTTTCCTTTTCCTTCAGGGCCCAACCGGTTCAGAACAAACCCCAGAAGGTACGAGGCGGGCCGGGACATCTGGGCAGCCGGCGGGGTGGGCTTGGACAGCCGGGCCTACTCGCCCCTTGGCACAGCCTCGGTACCCCAATCCCTGGCCAGAAGTAGAGGGCAGAAACTGGAGCCAGGGCGGGTCTAGGGCCCTGGAGTTGAGCCAGGGGCTGCCGCACGGTCTGGGCACCATGCATGTTCGCCTGTCTGTTCGCCTGCCTGCCTCCTGCCGCCGGTGCTGCGTGCTCGCCCGCACTTGGTCAGCCCTCGGTCCTGCGTGGACTGAAATCACCACTCCCAAATGGGCCCCTTGAAACCTGAGTTGTCGTCTCCCCTTAGTCTCCTGCAAGATGTGGGGGGTGGTGGGGGGGGCTGGAGTTGCCACTGTCTTCTGGTGCGGGCGCCCCACTCCCACCCAAGCCCCTGCCCGCCTGCCCGCCCTGCCCGGCTCTGTCTCTGCTTAGGCCCCGGCCCCTGCCGCGGACCCCCCGCGGTACACCTTTGCACCCAGCGTCTCCCTCAACAAGACGGCCCGGCCCTTCGGGGTGCCCCCGCCCGCTGACAACGCCCCGCAGCAGAATGGGTATGTCAGCCCCTGCCCTCCCGTGCCCGCGCCCGCGCCCACATCCGCGCCCACGCCCACGCTGTCAGGCCCACTGTGGCCCCACGCCCGTTGCCCGCTGCCCGCTGCTGCTCAGTCTGTGCTGCGCCCCAGCCCGGCGGAACCGTGCGGCAGCGACCCCTGGCGGCCGGGGTGGGGCTGCAGGCACAGAGCCCCTCCCAAGGCTGTGGCGCCCTGTAGGGCACCACCCTGGGGAGGGGTCTCTGAATGAGGCCGCGCCCCCCGCTGGCGGCTTGGGGTTGGGTCGTGGTGTTGAGCCAGTTGAGCCCTAGACACTCAGTGCCGCCTGGTCCCCGGCTGCTCTGACCCCTCCCCGTCTTTCTTCCTCTCCTGTGTCTGTCCCTTTGTCCCTTTATCTGTCTATCTGTCTATTTCCTTCACAGGTGCAGACCCCTGACAAGTCAGTGAGCCCCCTCTGCCTGTCCCTCTCTTCTTCCTTTTGGCACTCTGGGCGGCGGCCCCTCCCCACCCTGGCTGCCCTCCTCTCCACTTTGCCCTCCTGTCCTCTCACCCACCCGCCCAGCAGGGCTTCTGGCCTCGCCCTTACCCACTCCCTCCCATCACTATAACCCACAGGCACCAAATCCTGGGAGGGGCTGCCCCCACTGCCCACCCCCAGCGTGGGGTTCTGAGCCTCACCCTCCCCACAGACAGCCGCTCCGACCGCTGGTCCCAGATGCCAGCAAGCAGCGGCTGATGGAGAACACCGAGGACTGGCGGCCACGGCCTGGGACAGGCCAGTCGCGTTCCTTCCGCATCCTTGCCCACCTCACAGGCACCGAGTTCAGTAAGTGCCAGCCTAAGCAGGGTGGACTCTCCTGGCCTCCAGCCCAGGTGTGAACCTGACCTTCTATCTCTCTTGGTCAATGCCTGCCTCTGCCCTCTCAGTGCAAGACCCGGATGAGGAGCACCTGAAGAAATCAAGGTACAAGGATGGGCACTAGCCCCTCTCCCACCTCCTGCCTCTTCCATTCCAGCTACTGCCCTATGTCTACTCCTGAGGCTCCCAGCTGGGGCTTTCCATTCTCCCTTCTTCCTTCCTAAGCTCCCTCCTTCCTTCCTTCCTTCTTTCCTCCCTTCCCTCCCTCCTTCCTTTCTTCCCTCCTCCCTCCCTATGTCCCTTCCATCTCTCCTTCCTTCCACTTCTTCCTCCCTCTCTCTCTGCCCCTCAGGGAAAAGTATGTCCTGGAGCTGCAGAGCCCACGCTACACCCGCCTCCGGGACTGGCACCACCAGCGCTCTGCCCACGCGCTCAACGTGCAGTCGTAGCCCGGCCCTCTCCAGCCGGCTGCCCTCTCTGCCTCCCTCTTTCTGTTCCTCCTGCCCAGGGCACCCCCTTAGTGTCTCCAGCTTCTACCTACCTCACCCCCACTTCCTGCCCCTGGCCTGAGTCTCCTGCTGGCCTGGCCCTGGCCGCCCACCTGGTGCAGAGCCTGGCTTCATCTGACACTGCCTTCCCTCTTTGCCCTATGGTACTGCTGTCTGCCAGGTCTGTGCTGCTTTGGGCATGGAAATAAACATTCTCAGTCCTGCTTGCTCTGCCTCTGTCTTCTATCTTTGTGGACCTGGTTTGCATTTGGGGTGTGGGGATGTTTCATGGTTCAGACTCAGTTTGGGCCCTGCCATTCTTGTCTTCAGTGGGAGGGGGGTACCTGGCAAAGGGGCCCTGCCCTGCCATCAGAGATGGCTTCCTGGCATAAGGGGAGCCCCACGAGCTGCCTCAGAAGCAGGAGTCCTGCTCCATCTCCCAGCTAACTAGACAAACTGGGGTCCAGCTACTTGGATGTTGCTAGGAAAAGCTGCCCTTCAGTGGACCCAGAGTCCAACTCAGCAGTTTTCACGCCCCCAGGCATCTCACATGGGACCAGCAGGACCCAGGTTGGGGGGTGGGGCCATGCCAGGACTCTCAGCCAGGCAGGGCCTTGAATGGCAGATCTTACAGCCAGGTGCCCAGGACAGAAGCCCCAGCCCCAGCCTCATCTTCACCCCAGGAGCCCTGGCCTGGTGAGAGGGAGTGGGTTTGGGCCTGGGCAAGGGTGGGTAGGGGCCAGGGGCATGGGGGTGGTGGGCTTCTCTAAGCTGCCTGGGGCTCCACCCCCTGTCCTTTGGGGTCCCCGGGTACCCCTTTAGAGCCGTTTTCCCCGCCCCGGCAGGCCCTACCACCCCCAGCCCCACCAGCCGCCCACCCTGGGCCGTGGACCCTGCATTTGCGGAGCGCTATGCCCCGGACAAAACTAGCACGGTGCTGACCCGGCACAGCCAGCCGGCCACGCCCACCCCGCTGCAGAACCGCACCTCCATCGTGCAGGCGGCCGCGGGAGCGGGCCCAGGAGGGGGCGGCAACAACGGCAAGACTCCTGTGTGTCACCAGTGCCACAAGGTCATCCGGTGGGTGGCCTGTGCCCGTCCTACCCTGGCTTTCCTGTCCCGCAGCCCGGCCCGATTTGTCTGTTCACCCGTCTTGCCTCAGCTGTGACTGGGGGGAATAGAATAAGGATTCAGTTCCCAGCTGGAGTGGGGGTAGGGACCCGGCCTGGGGTCTCAGATTCTCTTTTTTTTCCCCCATTTATTTATTTTATTGCGGGTCTCAGATTCTTAATCCTACACTACCCCCCCCCACCCCTCGACCTCAACCACTAGCAGAGTCTGCCCTGGCAAAATGGCGGAAGGGCCAACCATAGTCTGAAGCCGCACCCCTACCCTTACTACTTTCTGGGCAAAGGGGCTTGCCCCCTCCCAGCCTCTCTGCTCCTCCCTCCTGCTCTCTGTCTCCCTCGGCTCTCAGAGCATGCAGGCCTGAGCCCCTCCCTCTGTGCACTGACCGGTGGGGCCAAGCAGCATCAAACAGCCCCCCAGCATCAGTGTGCTGGATTCTAGCACCTTCTTAGTCCTCAGCACTGGCCTGCTCTTGACCCTCTGTCAGCTCTTTTTGTTTTTTCTTTTCTTTTTTTTTTTTGAGATGGAGTCTTGCTCTGTTGCCCAGGCTGGAGTGCAGTGGTGCAATGTCGGCTCACTGCAACCTCGGCCTCCCAGGTACAAGCAATTCTCCTGCCTCAGCCTCCTTAGTAGCTAAAATCACCATGCCCAGCTAATTTTTATATTTTTAGTGGAGATGGGGTTTTACCATGTTGGCCAGGCTGGTCTTGAGCTCCTGACCTCAGGTGATCTCAGGCCTGCCTCAGCCTCCCAAAGTGCTGGGATTACAGGTGTGAGCCACTGCGCTGGTGGCCAACTCTATCAGCTCTTGCCAGGTGGGACAGGCCAGCAGAGCAGGGTGGCTCCAGGATCTGCCCAGGGGTCCTCAGCTTTCATGAGGCGCCAGTCATCAGCCCTCTGTCCTGGGGTCCTCCCTGCTCTGAAACTGCCTCTCCTGTCACCAGCAGTTCAGTGTCCTTTGGGGTCCCTGGGTACCCCTTTAGGGCCGCTTTCCCCAGCCCTGCAAGCTTCATGGCTGTCGCGATCACTTCCAGGTCATCTACCCTCTGTGGAAAATGGGGAGAATGAACTCTCCCTCCCAAGGCTTCCCAGTGCGGGGTGGGGGGGGTTCGTCAACCCGAGGAGGGCCAGACCCCCACCTCCTCTGCATGTGCTCCTTCTCACTGCCCTCACCTCCCTGCAGGGGCCGCTACCTGGTGGCGCTGGGTCATGCATACCACCCGGAGGAGTTTGTGTGTAGCCAGTGTGGGAAGGTCCTGGAAGAGGGTGGCTTCTTCGAGGAGAAGGGCTCCATCTTCTGCCCACCGTGCTATGACGTGCGCTACGCACCCAGCTGCACCAAGTGCAAGAAAAAGATTACAGGCGTGAGTAGGGCTGGCTGGTGGGGAGGTGGTACAAGCCTGTTAGTGGGAAGTGGGGGCTGCTAGGCAGCCCTCAGGCCGGGTCTTTCCTCGAGTGAGCCCTCTGGGTCCTTACCAGCCTAATGAATGGGCTGCTGTATTGGCCTCGTCTTGCGTTAGCCAGAACGCTCTTAACAAATGACTACATTCCTGCTCAGAAACTGCCCAAGACTCCAAAGAACATGAGGACCAAGCCAGGAGAAGCCCTCCTGACCCCCACTTTGGGCTCTCCCTGCCCTGGTGAAATGGCAGAACGGCCAACCGCATGCTGAAGCTGCCCTATCTCATGCTTCCTCCTGACTTCTGGATCCAGAGCCAGAGCTGCCAGGGGTAGCCAGAGAGCTTTTGGAGATTTTCTTATTAGTGAGGGTTACCTTGACTGCAAGTGGTGGAAACCTTAAAATAATGGTGGTTTATTCCTCACCTAAAAACATCCAGAGGTGGGCAGTCTGGGACTGTTATGGTGGACCCAGGCTCCACCTTGTTGCTTGACTGTTCTCAGCATCTGCTTATTTACCACTCATAGTGCAAGACGATGCTTAGCCTCTGCCAAAATACCTACCTTCTAGCCAGCAGGAAGCTGGAAGAAGAAAAGGGACAGAGTCCCATGGCGTCCATCCTTAGAGGATACTGCTTTCTGACCCTCTGCTTCCATCCTATTGGTTAGAACTCAGTCACATGACCATACCCAGTGGCAAGGGAGGCTGGGAAATACGATCTTTATTTTGGGCAGCCATGTGTCCAACAAAAAATGGGGCTTCCATCAGCAGGCAAGAAGGGAAGAATGGCCGAGTACGGTGCCTCACACTTGTAATCCCAGCACTTTGGGAAGCCAAGGTGGGCAGATGATTTTGTCATTATAATAGTTAATCATATTTGTGGGATACGTACTCTATAGGCCTCTAGCTTCACAAACACAAAACACATCTCCTATAAGGTGGCCTGAACTGAAGTCGGTTTCAGTTTGGGTATTCCCATCTTATAGATGAGGAAATTTTGCCCAGGACCTCAGTCATTTCCCTGCCAGCCTAGTCCACACTCTGATCTGGAGGAATGGGCTGGATCCCGGAACCTTCCTGAGCTGGGCATAGGAGTTTGCTTCCTCAGATCAAGGCCCTACTGTTGGCTGACTGCCCTGTACCCTATGTACAGGACGGGGTATCTATTGCCCACGCCATAATGAGGACACGAGGCTTAGAGGGCCTAGCTGGCTCCTGGGTCCTGGAGTGAGCCTTGGGTGGCAAACTCTGTTGCCCTCAGCCAGGCACATGCTTCTGTTTTTGTCTCATTGGCTGGGACTGTTAGCATAGGTCCGCCCTGGGGCAAGGTGCTTCATGCAGGTTCTGTTCTCAATCCATGGAGTTGACTCTTAGAGAAGTGAGGCAGGGCAAAAGGAAAGGACTAGAGTGTAGTGAGCAAATTGTGGGGGGCCTGACAGACCCTAGGGAGCCCCCATCTTATCCTCCCCAGGGGCAGAGATCCGACTTCATCAACCTGACAGGTGCTGTAGTGGGCCACTTACCACCCAGTAGTTCTTGGAAACATTGTCTGCCATTCGTTGCTCGGAACCGTGCCTTCCCAGGCTTGGAGCATGGGGAAGGCAACATGGCGGATCAGATTGTTGCAGCAGAGTTGGAGGAGAGTTCCAGGGGTTGGGGGACACATCAGAGGGGACCCACCCAGTCGGGATCACCTGGGGGTCCCATGCTCTCAAGTCTCGTCGCTCCCCACCAGCCCCGCTCACTTGTGCTCCAGCTGCACAGGCCTCTCCATTTGGCCAGTGAGCTCTATTCCCTCCACTGCACGGCCTGTGTCCAGGCTGTCGTCTGCCTCCAGGCCTAGCATGGGACTTGGCTCTTACTCAGAGAAATGGGAAGCAGTACAGGGTTTCATGCAGGGGGAAATGGCCTGGCTTGGGTTGCAGGAGCCCACTGTGGCAGCTGGGATAGCTGGGATGGGAGGTGCTCCTTTAGCATGCTCTTTACCTCATTCCTTTCTTTATTTTTTTTTTCTTTGTTTTGAGACAGAGTCTCGCTCTGTCACCCAGGTTGGAGTGCAGTGGTGCAATCTCTGCTCACTGCAACCTCCACCTCCTGGGCTCCAGGGATTCTCCTGCCTCAGCCTCCTGAGTAGCTGGGACTACAGGTGCCCACCACCACACCTGGCTAATTTTTGTGTTTTTAGTAGAGACGGGGTTTCACCATTAAATTAGCCAGGCTGTTCTCAGCCCGGGGGCTGGTGACCTCATGATCCACCCATCTTGGCCTCCTAAAGCGCTGGGATTACAGGCGTGAGACCCTACGCCTGGCCCTCCTTTATCTTCTTCTGGAACTCAAATATCACTTCCTCAGGAACACCTTCCCTGACACCTTCTCCCCGCCATGCCAGGCCCCCCACCATTTGCTCACTACACACTAGTCCTTTCCCTCTGCCCATCGCGCTTCCCCAGGTGTGAACTTCATGGGTTGAGAGCAGGGCTGTTTGCACCCAGCACCCAGCCCCGCATACAGGAAGTGGCCAGCAAACATGAGTAAGTGGATGGAAGTGGCCTGTAAGTGGGACTTAAACATGAGTAACAATTCACTGGGAGAGGGATCCAAGTAGAGGAAATAGCTTGTGTCACCAGGTCACACCTGGGAAGAGTATGAGATGAGGGGAAGGCTGGGTGATGGCCATGTTCGGAGCTTGGAGCTGGGGGCTGTTGAGGTCAGATGTGCCTCTGAACTCTTCCTCTGGGGCAGGTGGAAGATGGAGCTAAGACAGGGGACTGGAGGCTGTTGGGCCCTGGGCCAGCACAGTACAGATGGCAGAGACAGACAGATACAGGAAACATCTAACCATCTTAGCGGGTGAAAGAGACATTGATAACTGGGCCACAAGTTCTTCTGCATACCAGCAGAAATCTCCTTCCCAGGCCAGGCATGGTGGGTGATGCCTGTAACCCCAGCACTTTGGGAGGCTGAGGCAGGCAGATCACCTCAGGTCAGGAGTTCGAGACCAGCCTGGCCAACATGGTGAAACTCTGCCTCTATTAAAAATACAAAAATTAGCTGGGTGTGCTGGCACACTTGTAGTGCCAGCTACTTGGGAGGCTGAGGCAGGAGAATCGCTTGATCCTGGGAGGCGGAGGTTTCAGTGAGCCGAGATCATGCCTCTGTACTCCAGCCTGGGTCACAGACTCTGTCTTGAAAAAAAAAAGAGAAATCTGCCTCCCAGCCCTGGGCACCCGCCCTACCAACCCATGCCGCTTTCAGCGCCCCCTCTCCCTCCAGCTCGAAGCCCAAGTTCCTTCACTGTGACCTTGTCTGCTTCTATAAAACAGGCAACACCAGAAAGTAAGAAGAGCCAGCCAGACGTGGGCACAAAACCTGTTTCTGCCATCTATTGGCTGTGTGAGCAGGGGTAGTTGCTCTGTCTGGGCCTCACTAAAGAGAAGGGTGACACTATGCTGGGGCCCCACGGTTGTGAGATACACGTGGGATGGGGTACAGGTGTTGTTGAGGGCAGAAACATGCCATCCGAAGCCTATGTGTCACCCACACTTACGTCTTGCTTGGCTCACACTGTTCCATTTCATTTTACAATCAGTAGCCAACAATTTAAAATGAGAAGATTTGCCTGATGCAGTTGCTCATGCCTGTGACCCCAGCATTTTGGGAGGCCAAGGTGGGAGGACTGCTTGAGCCCAAGAGTTCAAAACCAGCCTGGGCAACATAGCAAGACCCCTGTCTCTACAAAAAAATTAGAAAATTAGCCAAGTGTGGTGGCATACACCTGTGGTCCCAGCTACTTGGGAGGCAGAGTGAAAGTGAAATCTCCTGCATTTCATTTATTTATGTATAGAGATAGGGTCTTGCTCTGTTGCCAGGCTGGAGTACAGTGGCATGATTACTGCTCATTGCAGCCTTGATCTCCTGGGCTCAGAGGATCCTCCCACCTCAGCCTCCCAAGTAGCTGGGACCAGAGGTTCCCACTAGAACGCTCAGCAGATTTTTTATTTTATTTTATTTTTTGTAGAGATGGGGTTTCGCTATGTTGGCCAGGCTGGTCTTGAGCTCCTGGCCTCAAGCGATCCTCCCACCTTGGCCTCCCAAAGCACTAGAATTACAGATGTGAGCCACTGCACCCAGTAGATTTCACTTGAACACCTAGATTTCAGCCTGAGCCAGCCAGGCATTCCTGAATGAACCAGTAGTGCCACTCCCAGAGGAAGAAGAGGTGCTCCTCCATGTGACACAATCCCCACCTGGCCCTCGCAGGGATTGGATCTAGAATCCCTGGATTTAACCTCAGGGCCCTTCTCACAGTAGCCTCAGAAGGCTGGGATTGGGTTCCCAGTTCACAAGGGAAGAAACCAAGACTTGAGAAGGTCAAGGTCTGGCCAAACTACAGATCTGTGACTCTCATACCGCCTTGAGGCCCCACGCTGCCCTCTGCCTGCTCCATATGTGAATACTGCTGGCCCTGGCTGGCCCCTAGGGTCCTGGGGATGAACAGCCCAGCCCAGGGAGAGCTCAGCCCCTTGTGGCTCTGTCCCCTCCCACCTCCCTCGGAACCTGGTCAACTCACCCACAAAGGGCCAGGCACTGTGGGGATAGATCAGCCAACAAGACAGTTGATGCTTTATGCCCTCCTGGGCCTTACATTTTGGCTGGAAGAGGGGAGAGGCAGACAGTAAGCAATAAGCGCGGTAAGTAGGTTGCCTGGAAGTAATGTTAGATCACATTACGGAAAACAGGAAAGAGCAGAGCCAGAAGTGCTGGGGCGTGGTGTAGGGAAGGTGGCTGGCTGCTACTGGTGTGGTCACAGTGGGCCTCGTGGAGAAGATGACATTTGAGAGGAAACTTGAGGGGGCTTACACCTTGCATCAGGGAGGCTGAGAAGCACTCAGAATCTGGATGTGCCATGGGGGTGGGTCTCACTGGATTTCCTGGTGGACCAGGTGTGAGGTGTGAGAGGAGTGTGTGTTTGGCAGCAAGTGGGAGAATGGAGTTCCCATTGGTGTGAGGGGATCAGGAACCGAGTGTTGGACATGGCAAGTCTGAAGACGCAGTGGACATCCACTCAAGAGACCTTGGAGTTGGAGATGGAGGCGTGGGAGTCCTGAACGGTTAGATGTAGTGTTTACTATGAGAAGGAACGGGGTCCGAAGCCAGCCGTCCTGTGTTCTGTGACCCAGGATAGGGCAGGAGGGGACAGAGCCTGCCAAGTGACTGCCACCTCCTTCCAGGAGATCATGCATGCCCTGAAGATGACCTGGCATGTCCACTGCTTCACCTGCGCTGCCTGCAAGACGCCCATCCGGAACAGGGCCTTCTACATGGAGGAGGGCGCACCCTACTGCGAGCGAGGTACCTGCTGGCCAGTGAGGGTGAGGAGGGATGGCGCATGGGGCAGGCACGAATCCAGGTCCCCTTCCTCTCCGCCTCTACCCCCAGACTATGAGAAGATGTTTGGCACGAAATGCCGTGGCTGTGACTTCAAGATCGACGCCGGGGACCGCTTCCTGGAGGCGCTGGGCTTCAGCTGGCATGACACGTGCTTCGTCTGTGCGGTGAGAACCCTGCCCCTCAGACTCAGCCCCAAGCTCATCAGCCCTCTGTTCTTTGCCTGGGGGATGCAGGAGAAGTTGGGAAGGGGCTTCTCCTGCTGCCCCCAAGCCCATGTGACTGGGCCTTTGCTGCCCTTAGATATGTCAGATTAACCTGGAAGGAAAGACCTTCTACTCCAAGAAGGACAAGCCCCTCTGCAAGAGCCACGCCTTCTCCCATGTGTGAGCCCCTCCTGCCCACGGCTGCCATGGCTGTCCCTAGCCTGAGGGGCCTGGAGTCATGGCCTGGCATTCCTGGGAAGGGCCAGCAATGGTTGCCTTAACCCTGGCTCCTGGCCCGAGCCTGGGGTTTGCTGGGCCCTGCCTCACCCCCATTATCCTTCCACCCCACTCCCTTCACCACCACAGCACGCTGGTGCTGGCCACACTGGCCCCCTTTCACCTCCAGTGCCACAATAAACCTGTACTCAGCTGTGTCTTGTGTGCCCTTTCCCTGTGTACCCAGAGGGGTAGAATTTGAGGCATGTGGCAGGGTGAGAGTAAGATGAATTTCTTGGGCTGGCCATCTCGGTGGTCCTTGTGATGCGGACATGGCGGGCTCATGTCAGTGGAGGAGGTACAGGTGGGATCCCATGTGCCAGGCCCCGTGCCCACAGACATGAGCATGAGAGGAACCACTGGTCTGGGCTGAGTTGGAAGTTGGAGAAGAGTAGTTAGGCCAGGTGTGGAGCTCACACCTGTAATCTCAGCACTTTGGGAAGCTGAGGCAGGCAGATCACATGAGGTCAGGAGTTCGAGACCAGCCTGGCCAACATGGTGAAACCCCGTCTCTACTAAAAATACAAAAGTTAGCTAAGTGTGGTGGTGCATGCCTGTAATCCCAGCTACTCAGGAGGCTAACGCAGGAGAATCACTTGAACCCAGGAGGTAGAGGTTGCAGTGAGATCACACCACTATACTCCAGCCTGGGTGGCAGAGTGAGACCCTGTCTCAAAAAAAAAGAGAGAGAGAGGGAAGGGTAGTTGTGGGTGGGTCTGCAGAGACAGGGTGTGGAAAACCGATGGCCACAGCAAAGGCCTGGAGGGGCCAGCTGCCATCCAAACAAAAGAAGGTGGGGGGAGAGAGGACAGCCCTTAGGTCCTGGGAGGCCACAAGTGCCAGGTGGTACAGCTGGGGCTGTCTCTTGAGGGCAGGGCATTGCACAGCAGAGTTTGAAATAGTGAAGGGACCAGTTCAGATTTGTGTTGTATTATAGAAAAGAGGGAGTGAGGGGGAGGCTGGGAAGAGGAGTTGCAGCAATGGCCTAGAGGCGGAAGCCAAGCAAGGGAGGAACAGACAATAATATAGCAGAGATGGGACCCAGTGGCAGGTCCAGGGGTTGAGGGATGGGGATAAGGACAGCAACTTTGCCAGGATCTATCCTATACCAGACTAGATCTCCTGTAAACCTCCTAGCAACCTTCCTCAATGTCTGCAATCACTTATTTCATTTTTAATTTATTTTTATTTTTATTATTTTTTTTAAAAGACGAGTCTTGCTCTGTCGCCCAGGCTGGAGTGCAGTGGCACGATCTCGGCTCACTGCAATGTTTGCCTCCTGGTTTCAAGCGATTCTCCTGCTTCAGCCTCCTGAGTAGCTGGGACTACAGGTACGCGCCACCATGCCCGGCTAATTTTTCTTATTTTTAGAAGAGACGGGGTTTCACCATATTGGTCAGGCTGGTTTTTAACTCCCAACCTCATGATTTGCCTGCCTTGGCCTCCCAAAGTGCTGGGATTACAGGCATAAGTCACTGCCCAGCCAATTTTTTATTTTTTAATTTTAATTTTTTTTGTTTTTAAATAGATAGGATTTTTAAACTTAAATCTTTATCACTAAATTATAGAAGAGAATGTACAATTTTTCATTCTTTTCTGTTATTTACTGGTGAAAATTCAAGTTTTTAAGAGACAGGGTCTCCCTAGGTTGCCCAGGCTGATTTCAAACTCCTGGGCTCAAGCAATTCTCCCTCCTTAGTCCAAAAGTGCTGGCATTGCATGCATGAGCCACCACGCCTGGCCCACTTACTTTCTAGATGAGATGCAGAAAGGTTGGGCGACTTGACTAAAGTCACACTGCCATTGAGCTGTGAGCCAGACTAGAATCCAGGCCTGAAGCTGGGTGTGCTGTCCTGAGCACTGAGCACCGTTTACCACCGAGCATCTTTCTGGAAAGCTGACTTCTGCCTGGTACCTCAAGGACTGTAGGCCTTGGTGGTGGTGGTGCCACTCCCTGGGGCTTCCTGCCTCCCACTGATGCCCTTACCACCCTAGAGGGACTGTCATCTGTCCTGTCCCAAGCCTGGACTGGAAAGAGACTGAAGAGAAGCCCTAAGTAGGCCAGGACAACTCTGTGCCATGGCTGCCTGGCCTTCAGGGGTCCCTGGCTTAAGGACCTACAGCACATCTTTTAGTCTTCTCAACAGGTCCTTGGCCCAGTCCTCTTTAAGAGATGAGAAGGTCTGGGCACAGTGACTCACACCTTTAATCCCAGCACTTTGGGAGGCTAAGGCTGGAGAACAGCTCAAGCCTAGGAGTTCAGGACCAGCCTGGGCAACATGGTGAGACCCAGTTGCTTTTTTTTTTTTTTTTTGAGACAGAGTCTTGCTCTGTCACCAGGCTGGAGTGCAGTGGCACAATCTTGGCTCACTAAAACCTCTACCTCCTGGGTTCAAGCGATTACCCTGCCTCAGCCTACTGAGTAGCTAGGGCTACAGGCATGCGCCACCGCGCCTGGCTAATTTTTTGTATTTTAGTAGAGATGGGGTTTCACCATGTTGGCCAGGATGGTCTCGATCTCCTGACCTCATGATCTGCCTGCCTCGACCTCCCAAAGTGCTGGGATACAGGCATGAGCCTTCACGCCCAGCCTGGTGAGACCCAGTTTTTATAAAATATTTAAAAATTAGAGGCCAGGGCTGGGCATGGTGACTTGTGCCTGTAATCCCAGCACTTTGGGAGGCCAAGGTGGATGGATCACCTGAGGTCAGGAGTTCGAGACCAGCCTGGCCAACGTGGTAAAACCCCATCTTTATCTCTACTAAAAATACAAAAATTTGCTGGGTGTGGTGGCACACACCTGTGATTTCAGCTACTTGGGAGGCTGAGGCAGGAGAATCACCTGGACCCTGGAGGTGGAGGTTACAGTGAGCTGAGATCATACCACTGCACTCCAGCCTGGACAACAGAGTAAGACTCTGTCTCAAAAAAAAAAAAATTAGACCAGACATAGTAGCTCACACCTGTAATCCCAGCACTTTGGGAGGCTGAAGTGGGCAGATCACCTGAGGTCAGGAGTTCGAGACCAGCCTGGCCAACATGGTGAAACCCTGTCTCTACTAAAAATACAAAAATTAGCTGGGTGTGGTGGTGCATGCCTGTAACCACAGCTACTCAGAAGGCTGAGGTAGGAGAATCCCTGGAGCCCAGGAGGTGGAGGCTGCAGTGAGCTGAGACACCACTACACCTCAGCCTGGGTGACAGAGCAAGACTGTCTCAAGAAGAAAAAAAAATCAGCTGGGCATAGTGGTCCATTCTTGTGGTCCCAGCTACTTGGAAGGCTGAGGTGGGAGGATCACTTGAGCCCAGGAGGTTGAGGCTGCAGTGAGCTGTGTTCGTGCCACTGCACTCCAGCCTAAGCAACAAATGGAGACCCTGTCTCTTAAAAAAAAAAAAAAAAAAAAAAGCAAGACAAGAAGGGTGTCTGCTGTGTTCTCTCTTGGAACCCTGGAGAATGAGTGCACAGCTTCATGTGTTATTTTCATGATGTCTTGGAGTCTAGAACAGTGCCTGGCGAATAGTGGATGCCCAATTAAGTGTTTGTTGAATTCACGAGGTGCCTGTGGGACATTTAGGAGACACATTCAGGAAACAGCTGAAGATTCAAGTCTGGATTCACCTCCGATTCAATTCAGAAATGAATTTGAGAGAGGCTCAGGGCAGTCAACATAAATGCTGGTAACTAAGGCCTGGGGAGAGCTGGGAGCGGGGCCCACACAGGGAGCATCAGTAGTAAAGCAGGTGGGATGTGGTTTTCTTTCAGCCTAGACATCTTTGGCATATTAACCACAGAGTAGTATTCACTTCCACAAGGAAATGTGCTCTCTCCCACTTCTCTTGAACTGTGAAGCCCTCTCGGTCTGTCCTCGGTTCCCATGGATACAAGTGAGAAGGGCACAGGGATGGATGGTAACTGCAGCCGGGAGCCCGTCTGGGAACGCTGAGCAGCACGGCCAGATCTGCCAGTTTATCGACAGCGTCCAGAGGTTCAGATTTGTATGTGAGATCTGGTATTTGAATATTGGCAACTACTTAGATTTTTTTTTAAATCCTATTAGAAAAATAAAAAATGTGAGCCAAATCCAGCATGAGGACGGCCGGGGCCCAGCATAGTGAAGAGGCGAGACACCAGAATGCCAGCATCGCAGCACCAGGCAGGGACAGCACAGCCAGGGCGGGAGGACGACAGCCTCCAGGGAAGCCCGGGCAGGGCAAAAGCGTGTCAAGAAGTTGCCAACAGTGTCAACCAGGCAGATAAGGCCGAGGAGTCCCATGTGGCATTTCACAAGGTGACATTTGCCAGATCAGTTTAGCAGAGCTGGGGCGGCTGCCAGGGTTAAAGAGGAACAAGAGGGGAGGTTGGGGAGGATGTGGAAGGAGAGAGTGCAGACAGCTCTTTTAAGAGGCTTGGCTGTGGTGGGCCAAGAGGACCGCCAAGCTCAGCTGAGAGGCCAGGGTGGGTGGTGGGAGGGGCCTGGGAGGCATCTGCTGGAGGATGGTGGTAGAAGATGGGAGAAGTTGGGAGGGGACTGTAAAGAGAGAGTGGGGTGAAGGGTGGGGGCAAATGCGGAATCATGGAGCCAGAGCTAGCCTAGAGTGGGGCAGGAGCAGGTACCAGGCACCTCCTTGGAACAGCCACCCTCACTCCATAGGCCAGAAACGTGATGCAATCACATGTCATTTAATCTTCATAACATCTTTAAGAACACGTTATTTAAAGGTATGTTTCAGATGAGGGTACTGCAGCTCAGAGAGGACCAGTGACCTGTCCAGAGTCACCCAGATGGAATGGCCTGGCCTCTTGTTCCAAGGACCAAAGGCCAAAGTGTTTCCCGCTAACCCACCAGCGCTCCCCAGCCCCTGTCGTGTGTCCCCCATTGCCTGGGCTCCCATCCAGACTTTGCCACTAAGCAGCTGTGTGCCTCCAGGCAAGACACTGCCCCTCTCTGAACCTTGGTTTTCCCATCTGTAAAATAATAGCGGCTGGACGCAGTGGCTCTTGCCTATAATCCCAGTACTTTGGGAGGCCGAGGAGGGTGGATCAGCTGAGGTCAGGAGTTGGAGACCAGCCTGGCCAGCATGATGAAACCTCGTCTCTACTAAAAATACAAAAATTAGCCAGGCATGGTGGTATGTGCCTGTAGTCCCAGCTACTTGGGAGCCTGAGGCAGGAGAATCACTTGAACCTGGGAGGCGGAGGTTGCGGTGAGCTGAGATCGCGTCATTACGCTCCAGCCTGGGCCACAGAATGAGGCGCCGAGTCAAAAAGAAAAAGAAACCATAAGCTGCAAAGATCACAGTGTTCCAAAGCCGGGGTGCAAGGCTGTGCGGGTGGAGGCCATGGGAACTGGGAAGTGAAAGTCCTCGTGCCAGGCAGGGGAGGCCATTAGCACCCTTGGAGGGGGCAGAGCCCACGGCAGGGGACTGAGTGGGCAACTGGAGAGGCAGCAAGCAAGGGAGGGGCTTTTCCCAGCACAGAGCGGCTTGAGCTTATTTGCATCAGCAGGGGGAGAGGCGGTGGAGGGCAAGGGACTGTATTGCCAGAGTACGGAGGCAGGAACTCATGATTCTGCCTACTGCTTCCTCCGTGCGGGGCCCCACATGGCCTTGGTACACACATAAGGTACACACCATCCTCAGACTCTCCACGCAGCCGTGCTACCAGAAGGGAGCTGAGGCCCTGGGCTAAAGGACTGGCTGCAGGTCACCTTTTGAACTTGAATCTGACTGAATCCAAAGCTGACCCTGAGAGTGGAAGAAGAACCCCTCTCAACGGACGCCTTAAAGGAAGGTGGGGAGGGGACCAGGGTTCTGGGGGTGATGGTGGAACAAGAACAAGCTCACTGACTGAGAACCTGGGGGAACTCAGGAAACCAGCACCAGCTGCTTGGGAGATTGTGCAGGGGAGCCACTTCCCAGCCAGTGAGGACCCCAGAACCTGCCTGGGCCCTCCCGCTCAGGTTTTTGGGATACTGAAAGATCAACTCAGATTTCACCTATGTCTCTTGCCACTGACAAAATGACCACTACTTGGGCACCAGACAGATTAGGTAGGTCTCTCAGCTTCAATTCAAGTTAGTTTAAGCCAAGCAGGGATAACTGAACTGAAAAAGTAGATAGCTTCAGACCTGGCTGGATCCAGCTACCCACTGCAGCTGCTGGGACCTTCTCTCGTTTTCTCCATCCTCGGCTCTGCTGTCCACAATGTTGGCTTCATTCCCAGAAAGCCCTCCCCACTATTATCAAGGATTGCCCCTGGCAGCTCCAGGCCCATACCTGGCCAGCTTAGCAGCCCCAGTGGACAAAGGGAGCCTTTCTTAATGGTGCCAGCGAAAATCCCAGGGCCAATGTCCATTGAACTAACTTGGGTCATGTGTCGTCTCTGAAGTAGTCATTGGGTCTGACCCATCCTGGCTTGGATGACATATTCCTGTTTAGAGCTGAAAGTGGAAAATCTGCCAGAAAACGAGATGCAGAGCAGGCAGGCCTGGCCAGGATGTCCACAGTACTTCCTCCCCTTGTGCCCAGTGCCCCACCCCTGACTCCACTCCAAGACCTCAGAGCCGGAGCTTCCTGAAGTTCTAACCAGACTCCAGTCCAACCTCACTCCTGAATGCAGAAATAGGGGTACTACAAGGGGAAGCCGGGAGGGTGTGTGGGGTGCTGAAATGACCTGGGACAGACCTGGGTTCCCATCCAGAATTTGCCACTCACCAGCTGTGTGTCTCCAAGCAAGTCACTGACTCTTTCAGGATCTTGGTTTTCCCGTCTGTAAAATAATGATAATAATCAACACATTGACAGCATCTACTATGTACTGTTCCCATTTTAAGCACTTTCTAGATACTTTTTGAAAATCCTCAAATTGACCCTAGGAGGTAGGTACCATCACTATCATCCCTGTATCATAGTTGAAGATGAGTGATTCGAGATATGTGTCAGGTGACAAGCTCAAGGTCACACTGTTAGCAACAGACTCCTCAGAAGCAGAACTAATGTGAATAAACGTGGCTGGCCCGGCGCCCGGGGCAGATACCTGGGAAGAGCCATGAGCTTTGTGATGACCAAGGAGCAATCTGAGTGTGTGCTTGGTGGGTTCTTACAGAGGTAGGAAGAGGCCAGAAAAGACTCCATCAGCTGTTGCTGAAAAAGTCTTGCAGCCTCCCCTCAGCCCTAAAACCTTCCCTGAGAGGTGTGGGGGAGCACGGAACAGGAAGGTGGGGGTGGCGGGAGGAGGGTGGGGCTGTGAGGGGGAAGGGAGGGGGTTCTCCTTTCTAAGGCTTCATCCAGTCCCATTTTATCCTCACAACAGGTTAGCAAAAGGAAACTCAGAGAGGGGAAGTGTTTCAGCCAAGGCACAGCAAAGGTCCAGTTTCTGGATCCCAGTGCTCCCTTGTCTCATCTTTTCCACTCTGGGGATCCAGGAGTCATTGGCCCAGCCTCCCAGTGTGTCGGGGGAGCTCATGCTCTGGGGGTGGGAGAGACCAACCTGTCAGTGACTTGAAGTGTAATCGGTTTGGGGGTGGCAGACACGAAGTCCTGGTGGGAGGCACCCACTAGCCGCCCACCCACCAAGGCTGAGTGTGTGGGTTTCAGGGGCAGCAGCTGAAAGGAGGCAGGTTCTCAGAGGACAGTGACCAGTGGCCACCAACCCCCACCAGTCAAGGCAACTGAGAACTATGGGTCCACAGAGTTTGGCAAGTTAGGGGTCACTGGTGACCTTGGCCAGAGCAGTGACAGAGAAAATGCAGGTAGGAAAAGACAGATGACAGATGTCTGTCTGCATCCTGTAGAAATGAAAGGATGAAAATAACATGGAAGGGTGACAGGTGCCGAGACCAGAGGAGGGGGCTCTAAGGCATGCCAGCAAGGAACACCCTTGCTTCCCTGAAAACAGGGAAAACTGAGTGCAGGGTGTATGGGAACTCTCTATACTATCTTTGTAACTTTTCTGTAAATCTAACACTGTTCTAAAATAGAAAGTTTATTTAAAAATGTTGATGGCAAGAGGTGAGAGTGGGTGTGGCTGGAGAGTTTGTAGGTGGCTGGTGGGGAGGCAAGAATTTGAGGAAGGAAGAGCTTTGATGCATTTTAGGGCTTCTGATTTTTGGATGCAAAATTGAGTGTGCAAGATGGGGGGATGGGGGGGAGTGGGAAGAGCTGTGAGCTAGGACAAGTCAAAGGACGCTGGAAGAGGCTGAGGCCAGAGATGCACATGGCCAGCCATCTGTCTGCCCCTCCCTGGCTGTAGGGTCTGCTTCCTCCCCAGAATCCTGCTCTCCGTGCCTGAGGATGGGGGGATGGCTGAAGCTCTGTCCCCCATGGCTCTCCCCACTTCCATTTCCCACACTGTGTCACCCATTCCCTTAGGGATCCCCACTGTACCCCAACCACACCTACTGGCCAGTTGGTCTAGGGCACACGGCCTGGCTCTGTCCCTGCCTGGGCTTCATTCTAGTGGGGACCATGAAAAAATTACCAAGGCCAGTGGTCTCTAGGCATAGTAGGCACTGACTTCCCAAGGCAGGGGCCTGAGAATATTTTGAGTTTTAAGAGGGTTCTCCCAACCCCAGAGCGCCAGGAACCACTGCTGCAAATATGCAGCCCTGCTCTCCTCTTGGCATAGCCAATTACCCAACACAGAACTCAGAGACCCAGCTCGAACCACCTCCTCCTCCACGGTGCAGACAGGGCCAGGTGAAGTCAGCTCAGGGAGGTCAAGACTGGAGGCTTTGTAGTGGTGGAAAAGGCTGCTGAGAGCTGTGGACAGTTTCAGGGTCCCAACCCAGCAAAGAACGGAGTTCTGGGAGGCCCTGGCATGGTGTCCACTCCCTTGCAGGGGACTTTTCTGAGTCTCCCCTCCCCTTCTGGGCTCAGAGCTTTAGGAGATAAAGGTGCCAAGAGGCTGGCCCTGAGCGTCCTTGGAGGAGCCCTGCCCTGGGAGTCTGGGGTTAGATGCTGCTTCCGGAACTCTACTTGGGACTCCTCTGGGAGGCCTGAGGCTTGGGAGAGAAGGCAAAGGATATCCTAGCTGGCTTCATCTGAGAAGGCACAGGCGTGGAAGGGAGGAGAGGCCGGGAATGGAGGGATAATGGGCTGGGTAGAGGCTGAGAATGACCTGGAATGAATGGTCATGGAGCCGAGATGGGGGGCTGCGGTTGGGAATTGTGAACTGGGATCAGGATGAGACTGGGATGAGCTGGACTGAGGAGAATGCTGTGAGAAATGTTGGAGGGCTGGGACACGTGCTAAGCATGGGGCTGAAGCTGGGATGGGAAAGGAACTGGGTTGGCTTTGGAAGTGGGATGCACATGGCAGTGGATAGTGATGGGATAGACTAGGAGGCATGGACCCCTAAGGGTCAGAGAGGGGCTGCGGATGGGCCAAGGATGGGCTGCTATGTGTGAGCTGGGTTGAGATGAAAATGGGTTTAAGGTAGGATGGGACGCTCCGGGAATGGAGATCAATGAAGCAGTGGGTGGGGACTGGGCTGAGTTCGGGGCTGGAAGGAGGGCGAGCACCGAGGTGACCGACGGGGCAGGTGAGGGTTCGGGACGTGGGTGGGGCGGGCCCGGGAGCGGCGCTTAGGGGCGGCGGGTGAGGGGCGCGGGGGCGGCGGGTGAGGGGCGCGAGGGCGCCCGGGGCAGGCCGGGAAGGGGGGGCGGGCCTCCCCCTGGGCCGGGCCGGGGCGGCGCTAGGACCGAGCGAGCGGAGGGAGCGAGCCGGGCGGAGCCAGCGCCCCCCGCCCCCCGCCGGCCGGCTCCCCTCCCCCGGCCGCTGGCTCGCTCGGCTCGCGACGCTGCAGAGGCTCCGAGGCGGCGGCGGCGACTCCCTCTTTCCCTCCCTCCTCCTCCGTCCGCCCGTCCGTCCGCGCGTCTGTCCTTTCGACCCAGTCCGGCCTGAAGCATGGCCGGCGTCAGCTTCAGCGGCCACCGCCTGGAGCTGCTGGCGGCGTACGAGGAGGTGATCCGGGAGGAGAGCGCGGCCGACTGGTGAGCCCCCCGCCCCCGCCCCCGGCCTCTTTGTCCCCGCGCCGCCGCCGCGCCTTTGTTTCCCTCCCGCCCCGCCGCCCTGCCGCCCGGAAGGGAGGGGGACCCCGAAATGGTGCAGCGGGCCGGGAGGGCCGGGAGGAGCTGCCTTTGTGTGCGCCGGGGGAGGGGCCGGCGGGCCAGGCGGGGCACTGCCGGGCCCCGAGCGCTGGGAGGCGGCCCCAGGCGCGCGGTGGGAGCGGCGGCCGGACGCGGCCCGGAGGACGCGGGGTCCCGATTTGGGGCCCGGGGCTGCGTGGCCCTGCAGGAGCCCATCCCCCACCCCACCTCCCGGGCTCGGGGGACAGGTGTGCACGGGGCGGCCAAGGGCACCTTCGCCACCTTCGAGCGGGCGAGGTCCGGACGGGGACGGGGCGGGGACCTAGCTAGCGGAGCCAGCGCAGCCTGCCGGGCTCATCCCGGCTGGGCCACAGCACAAAGGAAAGCGAGGGCGGGGGAGGAGCGGAGCGAGCTGGGGGCCGGGCGCCCCGCCCACCGGGGGCCTCTCGGACTGGGCCACCCTCCCCCCTCCCCCCGCCCCGCAACCTGGGCTGGAGTGAGGTGGAAGGATGTTCCCTGCCACATGCGACCGCGAAGTGACTGCCTTATTGCCGCGGGTCGCGGAGGAGGCAGGGGTGAGCTCTCCTCCTCTACCTGAACGGGACTGCGGGGACTAGGCAGCTGGGCTAGGGGGCACCGAGCTGCCTTTCTAAGGGACCAGCTGAGGTTCCTGGGAGGAAGCCCTCTGGAGAACAAGTGTGGAGGGAGCCCCCAAAGAGGGCTGAGGAGGTGAGCAGATCCACGAGCCCCTAGCAAGGGGCATTTGGTCCCTGATGAGGGAGGAGCTGGGCCACCCCTCTCTCCGCCCCCCAGCTGTTGTCTCCCCCTGAGCTGGGGGAAGGGATGGACCACCTGCTCTGGGGCTGGCGGCCCAGGGTGGTGGAAAAAAGAAACCGGGGGGGTTCCTCACTGCCCCATCCTGGAATCCTCTTCCTGGAGTAATACTCTTCTCCTGGGGAAGGTTCCCATCTGGTTCCTAGGCCTCCTCTCCCTGCTGGCAGATGGGAACAGGCTCTTATTGAGGAAACTGAGGCAAAGAAGAGGGTGGGACTGAGGGACCCCGCTTGGGCTGGCTTTACCTGTACACTGGGAGGGCAGCCAGATGGGGACTCTGACATGGGGGCTGGAGGAGGGAACGAGATGGCTGGGCATCCATGGCACGGTACTGCAGCACTGGCCGGCAGCCAGGCCTGGAGGGATGGACGCGGGAGACAAGCTCTCCTGTCCTGCAGGTCAGTCACAGGAGAGGCCAGCACAGGCTCAGCAGGCAGGCGGCCCACCCATTGTCTCAACCCTGCCCCAGGGGGCCTGAGATCATGAGAGGAGCTCTGGGCAAGAGGCCGGCTTGGCCTGGAGAAGGAGCTGGCTTTGGGATAAGGCCCCGCCTGAAGAGAGGCACAGCTCACCCCAGAACACCTCCTTCGCCCTCCAGTCTGGAGGGATGCTATATACCACCGGCCCATTTTCTCCTAAAAGCAGAGCTCTGGTGGCCTATTGCCAGGGCCACACAACCCCTGCTGCCCTACATCTTGCTCAACAGAGGCCTGCCCCCCACCCCCGCCCCGTCAGCAGCATCAGTGTGGCCAAAGCGAGTTATTCATCACTGGTGTGCGTCACCCCCCATCTGGGTTGTGTGTGGGACACACACAGATGCACACATGTACCCTCGCACATGCACACATTCGTTCACTAAGGGCCCAGATAGCATTTTGAAAAAAGCGTGTGAGGATCACTTTCTGCACAAGAGGACATGAGTACCCCAGCACCGAGCATGGAACCATGGGTGCAGTGAGATCTGAAGACTCAGAGGCAGACCCTGCACATAGGTCCAGAGGGAGGGGCGTCTTGGGTAAATTGCTGTCTGCCCCCTCTTACCTTGTCTCCAGTGGGAGGGGTGGTTGGGGGGAGTTCACTTCTAGGTGGCAGGGCCTCTGAAGTGGACCACTACTCTGGCGCAGGGAGCAGGGGACCCAGGAAATGAGGTTGTATAGTGGGAAGGGCCACTGTTGCCCTGGTTGTGATATGACTCACTGTGACCATACACAAGTTCCTGGTCCTCTTGGAAAGACAGGGATTGGGCCCAGCCCTACCTGCCTTTTAGCACCACCATCCTGAGAGTGATGGTCCTGAGGGGTCCACCTGCCCCCAGCTGCCCACCTGAGCTCACCCCAGGGCCTCTGGAACTGCAACATTCTAGCTTTCACCTCAGGCAAGTTCAGTTTCTGGCTAGATGTCTTCTAAGTTGGTGTCAATATCATACATACTTCTGGTGTGCAGTGTGCTGGACCCCACGCCCTGAGAGCAGGATGTGCTGATTGACTGAGTCAGCATTCCTGCCTTCACGAGGCTTACAGTTGGGGTCGGAGTCTGTCTCCAGGAGTTGGAGCTGGTGAGATGTGTAGGTGCCTGGCCCCTACCCCATCCTGATTCTGTTTCACCAGCTCCCACCTGGTGCACCACCAGGCTCGGGGTGCCTCTGATGGGGTTGAGAAGCACTGGTCTTTGTATTCCTGCTGGGATGTGGTGGGTGCTCTGGGAGATGAAGCTCAAGGGAGACTGCTGGGGGCCAGCACTGGGCCCTGAAGAACGGAAGGATTCCACTGGGAATAGGCATGGGGTAGAGGAGCAGGTCTTGCCTTCCATGCGAAGAGAACCACATAGGTAGAGCCTCCAAAGTGCACCCTGTCCAGAACCCTGCTTGGGTCAGGGAGCTGTCAGAGGTGTGGCCCAAGTGTGTGGTGTGGATAGGGCGGTCCAATGGAAAAGGAGGCTGGAGGGTTTGAACTGGGGTATGGTTTCTACTGGGGAAGGGCTGTGGCTGGAGCAGGAAAAGGTGGCCTGAGGTGGGTAGGCAGGGCCTTAGGATGAAAGGTGCCCCAGAGAGCCTGGGCACGTTAAGACAGGTGATCTCACGGAGGTGTGATGTCTAGAGCAGTCTCTGGGAACTAGGGTCCCTGGGCTCTTCAGTTTCTCATCTGTGTATGGAGAGGGACAGAGCCTGCTTCTCTCAGGGCCCTTTGTTCCCGTAGTGGGTTAGAGCAGCAGGACAGGTGGTGGGACAGCTGTGCTGGAAGCAGCTGTCAGGGACAGGCCAGGGCTGGGGGCCACAGTTGGACTAGGAGCTCCGAGCCCTACAGCCCACCTGAGTCCCTTCCTGGAGGTAGGAAGTGGGGAATCCAGGAAGGGGAGGGGCCACAGCCATTTGGCCCTGGCCATAACTCCTGAGATGTACCCTCCGTCCCTCCCGCCTTCATTTCCTTCATCCCTTCACTTCCCTCCTTTCTCTTCTTCCTCCTCTCCCTGTTTCTCCCTCTGCTTCTCCCCTCCCCTTTCTCTTCCCCCTTGCCCTCCCTTTCTGCCTCCCCTCCTCACAGCCCCAGCCTCATGCCTTGGCACCTGGGGAACAGGAGTTTGGAGAAGGGGTTGAGCCCTTCCAAACCTCAGGGGCAAGGCCCTTCCTCCTAGGCTCTGGCTTTCCTCCCTCCCAGAGGGTCCTCAGCCTGGGCCTGCATGGGGTGATGGGGGAGGCATCTCTGCATTCCTTTCCGTGAAATGGATGCTCTGTCACCGAAGCCTATCAAAAGGAGCCAGGGCACACGAAGCCAGGGAGGAGGAGGAAGGAGGAAGGCTGCCAGGTCAGCTTTCTGTTGAAGCTCAGGCAGAAGGAAGGAAAGGCCAGCAGTCTCAGGAGGCCTCAGCCAGGGCGGAGGCAGCCTGGGGGCTGGAAGGCCTGGAGCTCCTGGCCACCCTGAGGCCACAGTCTGGGCGAGAGTGACTGCAGTGACCTCATCCCCATTTCAGAGAGGCGGAGATTGAGACTGAGGGCGGGTCCCCAGGGTCCTTTGTGTTCAAGGAGAATGCAGCTGGGGTGGGCCAGTCGTGTGCCAATTGCAGGGTTGCCACGGTTACTGGGGGATGCCCAGAGTGGTGGGAGCATCAGGTTCTCTCTCCTCCTCCTTCCCTCCCTGGGGGAGGAGCTGCGGGAGGAGCAGCAGCGGGGACCAAGGCACGTGCCAGGTAAGTTCCTGGCACTAGCCAATGGGGGGTGAGGATGGTGGTAGCCAGGAAACAGTAACCAAGGAACCGTCGCCTTGGAATCTCCATCACACACCCGCTCCACTGGGTTGTAGGCTGGCAGGGCCAGGGCCGAGATGTGGCACACTGAGCTTGACCAGTCAGCAATTTCTCCCCTCACCGCCTGCTCCCCACCTGACCCAGGCCTCCAGCGGCACCCTGTTGGGCTCCTGCTTGAACCCATGCGTGGCCCTGTTGTCATGGCGACCGCAGGAGCCCTCCCCGTTCCTGTCCTTCCCACTCCATGTCCCTCCACTCCCCAGAGCTGTCCCCACCCAGAATTGGCAGCCTGGGCCCTGACAGTTTGACAGCCACCCCTCCCTCTCCCCAGGGCTCTGTACACATATGAGGATGGCTCCGATGACCTCAAGCTTGCAGCGTCAGGAGGTAGGAATTCCAGCCATTCCTTCGCCTTCCTCTCCACCCCTCCTCAGTTGTTTTCTTCCCCACCCACCTGGCTCCGCGCCACCTCCCCGCCTGCATCCACACTTGTCTGGGTCTGGCAGGTGTCCTTCCTTCGGTCATCCCTGTGTCTCCAGGGTAGGGAGGGAGCTCGGAGCCTTGTTGAGTGTTGGACTTCTGAGAAGGCTGAGCCTCCAACAGGGAAAGTGACTTGCCTGAAGCCACACAGCTGGGACGCTTTGGGGGAAGGGCCCTATTCACCACCTTCCCCAGAGCCAAAAGGCTTGATTTTGCCTCTGGGCACTGGCACCTGGTGAGACATGGTGATGTGTGAAGAATGAGACCTGAGGATGTGTGAAGAACAAACACTTCCTCAGTTCTACCCCAAATAGGCCCTGCAGGAGGCAAAGCTAGATCCCTGTGCACCCCGCCCCTGCCCCCATACAGACCAACACGAAACCGGGACCCACACATCCCAGAGGCCAGAAGACCCCTTTTGGTGCCTGGGGAGCCCAGGAGGAGTCTTTCCTTTGAGTTCTAGGCTCTTTTTGGGAAGGGTTTAGGAGGCAGAGAGCCCTGACACTCTCCTGATTACTCCAGAAGGGGGCTTGCAGGAACTTTCAGGCCACTTTGAGAATCAGAAGGTCATGTACGGCTTCTGCAGCGTCAAGGACTCCCAAGCTGCTCTGCCAAAATACGTGCTCATCAACTGGGTATGTGGCCGTGGCTGGGGAAGGGAGCTAAAGGCCCAGAGCAGTCGCCCTTACCCTCAGCCCTCTGGAAAGGGAACCCCACCAGCCCCAGAGAAGATGCACCCTATCATGTAGGGCCCCTCTTGTCCTTTCCTGACCCCCTCTTTGCTGGGTACTTTGCAGGTGGGTGAAGATGTGCCTGATGCCCGTAAGTGCGCTTGTGCCAGCCATGTGGCCAAGGTGGCTGAGTTCTTCCAGGTGTGTGTATGGGGCCAGGGCTCTTGAGAGCGGGGACAGCCACCAGGGCCTGCATGCTGAGGTTGTGATGGCGGGGGTGGGGGGGCCGACTGAGCACCGCCATCTTCTTGCGGAAGGGTGTCGATGTGATCGTGAACGCCAGCAGCGTGGAAGACATCGATGCAGGTGCCATCGGGCAGCGGCTCTCCAACGGGCTGGCGCGGCTCTCCAGCCCCGTGCTGCACCGGCTGCGGCTGCGAGAGGATGAGAATGCCGAGCCTGTGGTTAGTGTGTTTTTGGCACCCGTGGGCTCTGCCTTCGTGGCCTGGTGCCTGAGACTGGCCTGTCCAGTTCCTCTTAGTCCTCACCCTTTAGGTGTGGGGGGGGTCCCAGAGCATTCAGTCTGCTCATTCTGGGTCCTTTGACACCGAAGGGCACCACCTACCAGAAGACAGACGCAGCTGTGGAAATGAAGCGGATTAACCGAGAGCAGTTCTGGGAGCAAGCCAAGGTATGGAACCCTGAGCCTGGCCCGGCTGAGCCGCCCCTCATGGGCCCCATGGGGCAGCTCTGTGTCCCTCAGTGCAGCGTCATGGTTCATGCCACATGCCCACCTCCTGCCCTGGGTTAGGGACGAGCCGGAGGGGCAGGGGCCAGGCGCCCAGGCTCAGGGCCTACCCTTGCTCACACCGGGGCTCGCAGAAGGAAGAAGAGCTGCGGAAGGAGGAGGAGCGGAAGAAGGCTCTGGATGAGAGGCTCAGGTTCGAGCAGGAGCGGATGGAGCAGGAGCGGCAGGAGCAAGAGGAGCGTGAGCGGCGCTACCGGGAGCGGGAGCAGCAGATCGAGGAGCACAGGTGAGCCCTCCCGCCCAGCAGTGCTCCAGGGCCCCCCGGGCACACCATAACGGGTGCTGGCTGCTTGTCGTTCCAGGAGGAAACAGCAGACTTTAGAAGCGGAAGAGGCCAAGAGGCGGTTGAAGGAGCAGTCCATCTTTGTAAGTTCTTTGCCCAGGCTTCCGGTCTCCTGCTCAGGGAAGTGAGGATGGTCCCTGTGTTCTGGGCCTTGTGGGGAGATGAGGGCTTGGGGGATGGTGCTGGGTGTTCTGGGGACCTGCATGGGCATGGGGTGCAATGGAGTATCGGGCCGGGTACCTCGTCATCTGGGGCTCTGGCCATGGAAAAAGAACCTTGGAGAAGCTTGTGCTCTAGACTGGAAGAGAAAATCCATCTAGACCCAGAGCCTCACTGACCAGTCTCCCCCTCCTCTCCTGGGGGTGGGGGGGCTCTAGGCAGATTAGACACTGTTTTTATGCTCTAGGGGCTGCCAGGCCTGGTCCCACCAGAGGAGTGCTGTGGGCAGCATGGGTGCGTCTGGGCCAGTGCTGAGCATCTGTAGCCAGTGTGCAGTGTGTCCTTGGAAGCAGCCACTTTGTTCCAGGGGTGCTGTCTGAACCTCTAGACATTGGGAAGGGCGCATAGGTCCTGTGGATTGGTCCCTGAAAATCACAGCCAAGTCACATCTTCATGCTTTGAATTTAGTATTTCAGAAATAGCTAATGTCATACAGGACTGAGCATAGCTTAGTTCAGGAAGGAAGGTGGGTTGATAGTCATCTGGATTGGGACTGTGGTGGGCAGATGCAGGGCTGTGGGGACTCAAATGGGCTCCAGAGTCACACCCATAGGAGACTGAGAGACAGGAGGCAAGACAGTCCTGTAGGCACCGGCATAAGTCACTCCAGTCACATTGGCCCTTGGATGGGATGGGGACGATGTGTGGCTGGTAAGCTCCAGCCCCAGTCATTCATTCAACACACACCTGCCACCTGCCACCTGCAGAACATGATGGAGAACAAGCGGGGCAAGACCTTTTTTTTCATAATAAGTTGATTCATGTATTTGTTCTAATTATGGTAAAATATACATAACATAAAATGTATCACTTCAGCCATTTTAAAATCTGCAGTTCACTAAGTGTCATTAAGTTCATTCACATTGTTGGACAACCACCACCACTCTCCATAAAGCACAAATTCTCCCCCTCCCCACTCGCCAGCCCCTGGCAGCCACCATTCCACTTTCTGTCTCTATGAAGCTGACTACTCTGGGGACCGCCTATCAGTGGAATCATACCATGTTTGTCCTTTTGTGTGTGGCTTATTTCACTTAGCATGATGGCCTTAAAGTTCATCCGTGTGGTAGCATGTGTCAGAATTTCCTTCCTGTTGAAGGCTGAATCCTATTCCATTGTATGGATATATTATTTCCTTTCACAGTGGTTTTTTTTTTTTTTTTTTTTTTTGTGACAGAGTGACGCTCTGTTGCCAGGAGCCCGTCTGGAGTGCAGTGACACGATCTCGGCTCACTGCAACCTCTGCCTCCCAGGTTCAAGTGATTTTCTTGCCTCAGCCTCCCGAGTAGCTGGGATTACAGGCACGCGCCACCACGCCCAGCTAATTTTTTGTGTTTTTAGTAGAGATAGGGTTTTGCCATGTTGGCCAGGCTGGTCTCAAACTCCTGATCTCAGGTGATCCACCCACCTCTGCTTCCCAGTGTTGGGATTACAGGCATGAGCCACCAGGCCCGGCCAATAGTGCAATGGTGTGATCTCTGCTTACCGCAATCTCTGACTCCCGGGTTCAAGCAATTCTCCTGCCTCAGCCTCCATGTAGCTGAGATTACAAGCATGTGCCACCACGCCCCGCTAATTTTTTGTATTTTTAGTAGAGTTGGGGTTTCTCCATGTTAGTCAGGCTGGTCTTGAACTCCTGACCTCAAGTGATCCACCCGCCTTGACCTCCCAAAGTGCTGGGATTACAGGTGTGAGCCATCTCGCCTGGTCTTTTTTTTTTTTTTTTTTTTGAGACAGTTTCACTCTGTCGCCCAGGGCGGAGTGCAGTGGCACGATCTTGGCTCACTGCAACCTCCACCTCTTGGGTTCAAGCGATTCTCCTGCCTCAGCCTCCTGAGTAGCTGGGATTACAGGCAGGCTCCACCATGCCTGGCTAATTTTTGTATTTTTAGTAGAGACAGGGTTTCACCACGTTGGTCAGGCTGGTCTCGAACTCCTGACCTCGTGATCTACCCGCCTTGGCCTCCCAAAGTGCTGAGATTACAGGCGTGAGCCACTACACACGGCCTGATAAATTTTATTTTTATGCTGACATTTCAAATACACACACATGCAGGTAGACAGATAGTGTTGTGAACCCCCTGACCTGACTTATTTTCACCAATTATCATCATTTCAGGCAAAATCTGAAAGAGCTTACCATTATTTTCTAGGCCTATCTGGCCCCTCAAGTATAGTTCACGTAACAGTGAAAGTGGACATTCTCGCAGGTCACTGTGGTAGCCTTGCCACTTCAGGTCCTCTAAGGAAGGGCACATGTGAGAGACTTTGGGATTTAGCATCATAAAATGCTTTCTCTTGGCTTAAGATGCTGTTCTGCTTTCTCTCCCATTAAGAATTGTGTTCCATGTCTGGGTTCCCTTTTTGCCTGGGCTGCAGGGGAGCTCTCATGTGTCTGAAAATGCTTTAGGCACAGCAATGGCTTTGACCCATGTGGTTAGTGTATTGACCTCTCTCCATTCCCTGGGCCTTACTTGTTTTGGTGTTGTTCACATGGTCGGTAGTTAAAGCCTTTGTGGTAGCTGCCTCTGGTCCTTTCTTGAACAAGGCAGAGGAACTAAGCAAGTGAGATTGCAGCAGGCGGGGGGAGAGCCCCAGCAAAGGCTGGTGGGACATAGGATCGTGGGAAGGCAAAGAGCCTGTGCTGACTGGAACCCCGTGGGCTGAGGAGCAGGGGAAATTTGATTGGGAAAGGAGAACGAGGTCAGAGGAGGAGTTAGACTTCATTCTGGGGGTCATAAAGTTACCGCTGAGGTGACAGCCCTCCTGAGGTGGGATGCTACAAAGGGTCCTTCTCTTAGTGCCCCTGACAGATAAGCTTAAGTTCTAGATTATATGCTCAAAAACCAGAGCAGCCCTGGGACTTCACCCCTTACAGCCCTTCCTGTCCAAGCTGCCCCCTGAGCAGCAGCGGATGCCGAATCAAATAAGAAGCCGTTGATGTGTGAGTTCAGTTGAGCAAACAGGCGCCCGCCTTGTGCTGGCCACCTGGAGACCCCAGTCATCCTGTGTCGCTCACGGCGGGTGGCAGGAGACTCCGGAAACAGGAACTTAGGATGTGGTGTCTTCGTGGGGAAGCCAGGAGCACTCTGTGGGGACCCAGAGGAGGAAGTGACCTGAACAAGCGAGGGACCTCTTCCCCAGGAGGCTCTGCCTACCCTGCAGCTGGAAATCAGAAGGCCTGGCCTGGCCCCAGGGCGGGGAGCAGGCATTTGGGAGAGAGGCTGAGCTCCCATGCTGAGGCTTGGAGGTGGGAACGGGTGTGCCTGTTCTGGGAACTGTGACTGCGTCGTGCTGAGGACTTGATGTCTACATTTCACTGTATGTGGGCGCCTTGGGTGGGGGCTGGGGCAGGGGGTGGTGTTGGAGAGGTGACGGCTAGGTCAGGCAGGGGTGGGGACGTTGGCCAAGCGATGGCCCTTCCTACCCAAAACAACGTGTGCAGTGGGCAGGTGGAGCCAATAGGTGATGGTGGGGCCAGGGGCAAGCGGGTGGCACAAGCCTGGCTTATGGGTGCTGCAGTGAGCCCCTGGTGATGGCTGCTTCAAGGCTTGCAGGTGGTGTCTCCAGGGCTCTGGCACCTCAAGAGAAACTGGAATTCTGACTTCAGTATGAAAGTTCCTGGTTTTTAAGTGGTGGCAACTAATTAACATGGTTTAAAAATATCATACCAGCAAAACAAAAGCCATCTGTGGGTCATATTTAGCCAGTGCTTGCTGTGGCTCTTGGGAACCCCTGAGAGATTTTAAGCTCAGGAAAATAATGGTCTGAACCACATTTTAGAAAGGTCCTCTCAGGGCCTATGGAGAGCAAATAAGGCAGGTACCAGTGAGGATGGCTGGGCCATGATGCCATGGTCCAGGCAGCAACATTGGGAACATGGTGACCCCGGCACTGGGGTAGGAGGTCCGAGAAAAGTTATCTGCAAAACTTAAGAGTGCTCCTGGATGGCTCTAGGCTTCTGCTTAGATATGGGGATGAGCAAGCAGGTGAATGAGCCTGGTGCCCAGAGGCCTGGCAGGTCAGAGATGAGGTGGTCAAGGGCCCTGAAGGAAGAGAGGCCTGTGTGACTTGGTTTCAAGGGGCAGAGGTACCAGCTCTGAGAACCTTCCTGCCAGATCATGAAAGAAGCATGGGGGCTATCAGAAGGCTGGGCATTGGTGGCTCATGGCTGTAGTCCATCCCACCGCTTTGGGAGGCCAAGGCAGGAGGATCCCTTCAGCCCAGAAGTTTGAGACCAGCCTGGGAAACATAGGGAGACCCTCACCTCTACAAAAAAAATTAAAATTAGCCAGGTGTGGTGGTGGAAACCTGAGGTGGGAGGATTGCTGGAGCCCCAGGAGGCAGAGGTTGCAGTGAGCTGTGATTGCGCAATTGCACTTCAGCCTCCGTGACAGAGCAAGAACCTGTCTCAAAAACAAAATAAATAAATAAAATACAGTAAAAAAGAAGGTGGGTAGGTGCACCAGACCCTGTCTCTTTGGTTTCTAGGGTGACCATCGGGATGAGGAGGAAGAGACCCACATGAAGAAGTCGGAGTCAGAGGTGGAGGTGAAAGCGGGGGCACCAGCCAGGTGAGGTGGGCAGGGACTCCCTCAGCTGGCCTGGCCCAGCCTCAGCCTTTTCCTTGTGCCATCAGGAGGCAGCAGCCATTATTGCCCAGCGGCCTGACAACCCACGGGAGTTCTTCAAGCAGCAGGAAAGAGTCGCGTCGGCCTCTGCGGGCAGCTGTGATGTGCCCTCGCCCTTCAACCACCGACCAGGTAGTCCTAGGCCTCACCCCCACCCAACCCCACTCCTCAGGTTATGGCCCTGAGCCTCTCTGGGACTCTCTTGGAAGGGAAGCCTTGCCCAAGGAACCCTTGGAGAAGGCGACACCCTTCATCCAGCGTGCATCCACCCACCACTTCCCAGGTGGCAGGACCCCAAGAAAGGCCAGGGGTGGTGTCGAAGTCGCTTGTGGCTGAACAGTGGGGAGTGCTGGGACCTGAGGGGCAGCTCTGGCCTGGGCTGAGGCACAGCACTGGCCACGGGGAGCAGCCAGGCTGGGGTGAACTAGGTCTGGCCTGGAAGACCGGGGTGCATGTGGGCTAGGCTCTTGCCCAGGCCCTGAGTGAGCCTCCTGGAGCTTGCGCTCAGGTGTCCCTGTTCTGCTTATCACTGTGCTGCTTTTGCCTTTCCTGAAGCTCTTCCCCACCCTGTCTGCTGGCCTGAGTGTGCTTGCCTCATGCTGGGGTCCCGATGCAGGCCATGTCTGCTGTGCTGCTCTCAGGCTGGCTGTGTGTCTGGGGCTGGTGTGAGGCTGCGGCTGGCTTGGCTGAGTGCGCCCTGGCTGAAGGCAGCTTGGACATCCAGGGCCAGCCCTGGGGGCGGGAGAGGCCTTGGCAGGGGTGGGGGAGACTGACCCTCTCTTGTCCTCTGTCTCTTTCTCTGTCTGTCTCTCTCGGCAGGTCGTCCGTACTGCCCTTTCATAAAGGCATCGGACAGTGGGCCTTCCTCCTCCTCCTCTTCCTCCTCTTCCCCTCCACGGACTCCCTTTCCCTATATCACCTGTCACCGCACCCCAAACCTCTCTTCCTCCCTCCCATGTAGGTAGCAGCCCCAGGCCTCGGCGGGGGTGGTAAGGAGGGCCCCGCTTCCCAGCAGCCCCCCACCGTCACTCCCCCAGCCTGACCGCTGATCTCTGGTGTTTGTCCCCAGGGCAGGCACTGCCTGCCTCTTGCCCCTGGCCCTATGGGGCACTGGCCCCCAGGGGCCTAGCTTACAGGGTCTGGAGCTGTAGTCTGGCCCCTGGGGGGGCTGGGGAGCTCCCAGCCCCCACCCAGACTCCAGAGAGGAGGTGCTGGCCAGGCCCCAAGGTGGACAGTCCTGTCCCACCCGCCTCCCCTGCCCTCACTGACCCACCTGGGGTTTGTTCCACAGGCAGCCACCTGGACAGCCACCGGAGGATGGCGCCCACTCCCATCCCCACGCGGAGCCCATCTGACTCCAGCACCGCCTCCACCCCTGTTGCTGAGCAGATTGAGAGGGCCCTGGATGAGGTCACATCCTCACAGCCTCCACCACTGCCACCACCACCCGCATCAGCCCAAGGTGAGAGAGGGACCCTACCTGCACCAGGGCTCCCATCGGCATTCCCTGGCTGAGAGCCCCAGGTTGCCATGGTAACCATTCTCCAGGGATCTGGGCCACCCAACACTAAGAATGCACTGCCCTGGAGGCGGCTGTGCGGGGAGGAGCCCTGGTGTGCAGTCAGACCTGCCCTCTCTAAAGCTCAGCACCTGACTTCTCAAGTGGGAATCAGGCCTTCCTCCCAGAGCTGCCAAGGGGCTTAAAGTCACTGGGGTCACTGGGTAAGGGGGCAGTGGGACACCTGCATGGAAGTCCCTGGCTCCCTCATTCCTCACATTGTTGGACAACCACCACCACTGTCCATAGGGCAGGGTCTCCATCTGCCCCCAAGGGAGCTAATTGCATGTCTCCTCTGCCTTTGCTGTGACAGAGACCCAGGAGCCCAGCCCTACCCTGGACAGTGAGGACACCAGAGCAGCAGACCCTCAGGCCTGGGCCGGCCCCATGGAGGAGCCCTCCCAGGCACAGGCACCTCCCCGGGGGCCAGGCAGCCTTGCAGAGGACTTGATGTTCATGGAGTCTGCAGAGCAGGCTGTCCTGACTGCCCCTGTGGAGCCTGCCATAGCCGACACCACTGAGGCCCACGACGCAGCTGACACCATTGAAACCGACACTGCCACTGCTGACGCCACTGTTGCCAACAATGTACCCCTTGCCACCACCAGCCTCATTGACCTATGGCCTGGCAATGGGGAAGGGGGCTCCTCACTCCAGGGCGAGCCCAGGGCCCCCACACCACCCTCAGGTACTGAGGTCACCCTGGCAGAGGTGCCCCTGCTGGACGAGGTGGCTCCGGAGCCACTGCTGCCAGCAGGCGAAAGCTGTGCCACCCTTCTCAACTTCGATGAGCTGCCTGAGCCGCCAGCCACCTTCTGTGACACCGAGGAAGTAGAAGGGGAGCCCCTGGCCACCCCCCAGGCCCCAATTCTGCCCTCGGCCCTTGAGGAGCTGGAGCAAGAGCACAAGCAGGAGCCAGAGCCCCACCTGCTGACGAATGGCGAGACCACCCAGAAGGAGGGGACCCAGGTGCAGCAGGGGCTGCCTGGTGGGAGGGATGAGAGGGAGTCCAGGCTGAGCAGGGCACTGGTTCTGCATTGCTCAGGCTTGCACCAGTACCCCCTTTCTGTGTGACCCACATTATTGGAGGGGAAGCCCATCCCACCCGCCAGCTCTGCTTTTGTTCCCAAGGCAGGCATCCGCGTTGCCCCGGCAACCACTGATGGAATCATAGGTTGCTGGGGAAACAGGCTCAGGCCTGATAGGTCAGCCCCAGTCCCGCTGGGTGGGGCCAAGTGACCTGATGCTTTCCCCTGCAGGCCAGTGAGGGGTACTTCAGTCAATCACAGGAGGAGGAGTTTGCCCAATCGGAAGAGCTCTGTGCCAAGGCTCCACCTCCTGTGTTCTACAACAAGCCACCAGGTAGTACTGGGGTGGATGATGGGGAGGAATTTCGGTGGGGAGGCTGGGTTTGAATGTGGGCAGCCACCCCACCACTACCCACCACCCATAGAGGCTGGGGACACAAGCATGGGTCGGCTAGGTCCCTAACTCATCTTCCCTTCTAATGCCATAGAAATCGATATTACCTGCTGGGATGCAGACCCAGTTCCAGAAGAGGAGGAGGGCTTCGAAGGTGGTGATTAGCAGTGGCGCCAGCCCTAGGCTGCCCTTGCCAAGGCCGCCCACCTGCATCGGCCTCTGGCCAGACGGCCTGCCGTGCCTGCATTCGCAGCAGCTCCGCCTGGCACCCACTCTGGATTCCGGCCCTGGCTGGGGACTTGGCTGCTTCCCTACCCACAGGGCCTGACTTTTACAGCTTTTCTCTTTTTTTTAAAGTTGATAGGAGACTTGTACAGTTGACTGGTTTTCCTCCCGTTGGTAGTTGAGACGCTGTTGCAAATTCCACTCCTCCTTCCCTGGTCCAGATTGTAGCTGTTAGTCCTCCCTGCTCAGCTGGCCGGGGTGGGGGCCTCACCCTGCTTGGGGCCTGGTGTGGGGGGAGCTCCGGTGGGAAAATGTTCTCCACCTCTTTTCCTAGTTTTATGTTTCTTGGAAAAATATCACTTTGTATTCTCCGTCCAGGGCTTCAGATATTTTGCACGAATTTTAAAACATGGCAATAAATGGCTCGTGGGCTCTGGCTCCCTGGGACCCCCTCCCCGCCCTTCTTTTGACCCCTCCCTGTCTGGCCCAAAGGAAGTAGCAGGCCCAGCTGGGGCCCCTGGGCTACTCACCCCCCTCTCCTGCCGGGCAGGTCCCAGGCTGGAGGCCCTAGGCGCGGTTCAGGTCAGGGCTATGGATGGGGCCCAGGGGCTTGAGTGGCCCCTCCCCAACTCCTTCCTCTTTGCTTGGATTCCTTTCCTTTTTCACGTTCAGTAACT